CACTAGGGAGATTATGGAAGGCTTCCTGGAGGAGGAACTTCTCATCTGGGTTTCAAAAAATCCAGATTTGTCAGACAATGATGGATACGGGGGAAGAAGGGACGGGATCCTGGCTGTGTGTGTGTGTGTGTGTGTGTGTGTGTGTAAAACTCTGCCGCTGCAGCCTCTCCCATTTCTTCTCCCCCATTTTGTGTGGGTAACGAGGAGATAACATTGAACATGGATGAAATATTTGCTGAGTACCTTCTGTGCGTCGGCTGTGCCCGATGACATGGGAGTGAGCAGAGCAGATATGGCTCCTGCCTTCCTGGCCCCTGTATTCTGGCACACAGTAGGTGCATAATAAATGGCAGCCTCTGTTATTTTTCCTGGAGATCTGGGGTTCCTCCTCACTCATTCTTTCAATAAGCATTTACTGAGCGCCTGCTCTTCACCAGGCTCCATCACTGGTGCTAGGAAGACAGGGGTGAACAGACGAGTAAACCCCACCCTCCTGGAGCTTGCACTCCAGGGGAACCCTTCAGAGGTGGATCCCCCACCCCCACCCGGGAGCGTGTCTGCTGGACCCTGAGAGCCCTGAGGGCTGGCATGGTCTGGATCCAGCAGTGCCCACAAGGCTCTGTGGGTCATCACAAGCCCTGGGTTGTAATCAGCAGAGTCGCCCACCACCAGCCTGGGCAAAGGGGCAGCGATGTGCCTGGACTCAGATCTTGCTCCAGAATAGCCCTGGGGTGGGACCCTGGAGGCCTGCTCTCCCCCTCCCGCTCACCCTGCCTCCCCGTCTCCCCATGTCATCTGTCTGCCCTTGTCAGTGTCTCACCCCCTGGGACCCAGGATGTCTCCTCCGCCCAAGGATAGGGCGTGGAACTCAGCCCTGCCAGAAGGCTGACTCGGGCTGCAATATTTTCTTTCCCCACATGTTAATATGCTGATGCTAAGGGGACTTGAAACCACGCATGTCCTCGGAGGCAGGGCTGGAAGGCCGGGTGGCTTTGCCTGGGGAAGACTGGAAGGGGACATGCGAGCTGTCGGCCAGGATTTGGAGGCCTGTCATGTGGCAGAGGGAGTCGATTCATTCCCAACAGCCCGGAGGGCGCGCTTAAGACCACGGGGTGTGGGGGGAATGTTCCAGGGAGACAGGTTGGGCTCAGTGCAGGGCACAGCAGGCCTCCTGCACAGTGCCGTCGGTGGGGGGGCTTGCTTCCTGGGGGTTGTGCTTTGATGGGGTCTGGCTCTGACTTCTGCGGTAACTTCTAGCGGGAGACGCAGTGACTCCGTGCTCCGGATGCGCTCACTCCAGCTGGCATGCGAGGACATGCGGCCCCCCCTGGTGACAACAGCGCGTGCTGACCGAAGAATCATGTCACTTTTGTTCACAATAGCGATGCAATTTGCAACGGCAAGAGTTGATCTCATCCTGGCTTCAGGGGCTGTCCGCGGGATGCTGGGGGGGCTGAGAGGATCCGAGGGGTAGCGGGCAGTACCTGGACGATGACAGCATCCACCCAGGCTGCAGGGGGTCCTACGAATGACACATCCCTTTTCTTCAAATGGAATTTTCTACAAAAACCCAAGATTTAAAACAGGGAAATGATGCCACTTCAGCTGAAGAGAGCTTGAGGGACCATAGCCTCATCTGCTCAGCACCCGCCTCTGCAGCCGCTGAAAAATTCCTGGGAACCCTAAGGGTTCCAAAGAGCACACTTTAAAAACCAGCAACCACCCATTTCTGTTGTATGTATGATGTCAAGGCAAAGAGTGTGGATGCTGAGCCAGATGGCTTGGTTCAATGCCAACTCCACCACCTAGTAACTCACTGACCTTGCACGAGGTACCCCCCTTTGTGCCTCAGTTTCCCCATCTGTAAAATGGGGACAATCAAAATGCTTCCCTCAGTTGTTGTTGTGAGGACTAAGTTATTACTACATGTGGGGCACCCAGAACACCAGCTCATCCTCAGAGGAAGGGTCAGCTCTTCCACAGCTGTAGGCACAGGTGTCCAAGAGGCTGAGTACCTTGCCCGGGGCCACACAGCTGGGCAGAGGCCAGAACTGGCCTCTCTTAGTTCTTCTCCCTTAGCCTCCACACCCAGCACTCATCCTGCTTAAGGTGCCCCTTCCCTGGGGCTCTGGGTGTCACTTGGACACCCAGAGGTGCCTGCTGCCTTCTGGGAGTGACAGGCTTCTGTCCTCAAGGGCTCTCCAGCCTACAGCAGGGGTTGAAGAGCAGTTTTCGAGAAGGAACTTGTCGGGCAAAGAGAGGAGGGTGCTCCAGGGAGGTGAGCCCTTAGCGAATACCCCATGGCAAGAGGTATATTGGGGAAGGGGGTCGAGGGAACAGCAAGGCAGGGGGTCCCCCTGGAGTTGTGAGCTCTTTCCAGAGCTGCAGATCCTGAGTTTGCTACACCCTTCTGATCCCGCCCCGCGCTGCTCAGAGACCTCCCATGGCTCCCCCTTGCCGTCAGGAGCTGCTCTCCTGCTCTCCACCACGTCACGCCCCAAACCTAGTCCAGCTGCTCACACAGTGGGCCTGGCACTTCTTGCCCCTCCTCGCCTGTGTTCTTGCTGTTTCCTCTGCGCTCGGCCCCAAGCCCCAGGTCACCTTCTCGGGGAAGCCTTCCCAGATCGCACCCTAGTTCAGCCATCATGTCTTCCCTTGAGCTCCAAGCACCTTCTGTGTACACCTGAGAAAAAAATAATCATGTTATCAAGAAACTAATGATAAGACCTATCTATGAAGAGGCAACAGCAGCCCAGTAGGGCGGTGCCACTATCGCCTTCACTTGGTGAAGGAGAACATGGAGACACCGCGTGGCTAAGACACTCAGCTGGGGCCGCACAGCCACTGCAAGCGAGGCTGTGCTCACATGTGGGTCTTTCCTTGGTGTTTCGGAGGTCCCGGGTGTTCTGCCCTGGCTCTGGGGCACCGACAGGGTAAGACATCATGAGCTGGACACTTCTGTTTCCCACTGGCTGCTACTTACGTGGGCAGCGCCTGATTCCCCTGGGGCTCGCAGCGATTCTTTTTGTTTTAAAGATTATTTATTTATTTATACAAGCACTGGGTACAGTCAGAAGCGCGGGAGGGTGAGAGAATTCACCAGAGCCAGAGCGGGGAGCAGCGCAGGCAGAAGGACCAAAGTACACTGCTGAGGGGAGCAGCGGGCGGCAGGAGAGGTCTGCGCGCCATGTAGGACCCTCCCCGGCGGCCGGGGATCAAACCGGTACTGCAGAGGCTGCAGGCAGCTTTGCAGCCCAGCGCTCAACCGCTGCGCCACCAGGGGAGGCCCATCTCGCAGCGATTCTTCATGGAGAGCCATTGAAGAGAGCTCAACCTAAGAATGGAATTGACTATTTAAAAGTGTGCCGAACAAAGGAAGGTGTGGGGTCCCCCATTTCCCAGCCCACACAGCACCCCCCAGGCCTTCTGATGGGGCAGGGGCAATTCCTGTACAGAGACTGTAAAACGTGCACCCCCATTCCCTGAAGGCGCATTTGCCCGTTGCTATCACAGACCTGTCTCAGGGGGCTGATGCCTCTGCGCCGCGGCTGTCACGCCACGCGTCCTGCCCCCTCTTCCTCGGAAGCCTGGACATTAAAGATGGAGGCCCCCCATTTGGCCGCCATGGCCCTGAGTCTGGCAGAGCTGAGAGCTCCTGGGTGCGTGGCCCTGAGGCTGACAGCGAGCTGTGTGCGGGGCTTCCTGGGGCCAAGGCTGTGGACTTGGAACTAGTTAGACAGGCACGTGCACAGGTGGCGGCCAGGCGAGGAGGCTTAGGGAGCTGGGGAGAGAGATGGGGCCCCGAGGCGTTCTAGGGGAGGAGGTAGTGAGCCTGACACCCAGGGCAGTGGAGGGGGGTGGGAGGGAGCCCCGGGCACCCTGAGAGCTGGGGATGACCACTGCCCCCTACATTGCCCCCTCCCTGAAGGCCCCGCCGCAAAGCAAGAGAGACTGGGAGGCGAGAAGCTAAAGCCACAGGATCCGAGGCCAGCCGTAAAGACACTGTCGGCTCTTAATTACCACCATCCCTGGCACGGAAGAGCCCACGCAGGCGCCTCTGTAAATAAGCAGCGTCTCCTTGACTTCAGGACTCACCCCAGCGCACGCACATTTACAGCGCACTGTGCCCGGGCCACCTTCTCCCCGGCCGCTCCCCCGCAGCTCACTCCGGTCCGGTCTTGTCTTCCTGGCATTTGGTTTGGGCTCATGTTTACAACCACCTGTGGGAAGGCAGGGAGGAGGTTTAATTGACATTTCCAGGCGAGAAAACTGAGTGGTTATGAGACTGGTCCTAAGCCGCACAGCTGACAAGAGGCGGATTTGCAGACACTAGACGTCAGGGTTTCCTCACCTCAAGTGGGGGACGCTGAGCCCTGGCGTGGAACCTGCGAGGCAGCCCTTCCGCTCACTGCAAGCAGCTGGGGCCGAGCCCACAGGATGGGGGAAGGGAGCCCGGCGGAGCTCAGGTTGCCGAGGGCAGGTGTGCAGGGGCCAGCCTGGAGGGGCGCCCCGCTGAAGGGGCGAGATCCCGTGCTTGGATTCCAGGGATCGCCTCTGACCAAATGCGCGGCTGTTGAGTCTTGACCTAACTCAGAGGGATGGGGAACTGAAATGCCCCTTGATCGCATCGGGCTGGAGCTGTGGCTCAGAGGACGTGGGGATGTGGGGTGGTGGGCGCCAGCTGGGCCGAAGAAAGCGCTGGCTTTGCAGAGGGCTGAAGGGCACTCGTGTTCTCTCCCTTTGAGGTTGTCAAGTGTGGGGCATGGTGTGGACCCCCCGAAAGGGGTCAGCCCGTGCAACTTCCCCATTTTACAGATTAGCAAACTGAGGCCCGAGGAAAATACCACCCAGCAAGGCAGAGCTGGGAGTAGACTTTGGGGTTCAGAGCTGCCAGTGTGGGGGCCAAATGGAGGGGGCTGGCTGTCCTGGGGGGCTCTGGGCTAAGGGGGGATCACTGACCCTGCCCAGTAAGGATCTCACCTGTGCCATGTCCTCCCCAGGGGCGCCTACCCGCGATGTCCTGCTGGTCTCTGCCATCATCACCGTCAGCCTTAGCGTCACTGTCGTCCTCTGCGGCCTCTGCCACTGGTGTCAGCGCAAACTGGTGAGGCTCCTGAGGGCCCCGCCCCGCCCCCCGCGACGACAGGTCCTGCACACAGCCCGGCACACTTGGTGCAAGTCCACGCAGCCGGCGTGTGGGCCCCCAGGTCTGCGTGCGCGCCCGGGCCCCGCTCCCCACCGCGCGCGCGCCCACCTGCCGCGGAGAGACCCGCCGGCCCCCCGGCCCCCCGGCCCCCCCGCGCCCGAGGAGCCTCGAGGCCCGCCAGGCCTCCTGCGCCCCCTCCCCGCGGCCCGGGGCGGGGCGCCCCACGGCCTCGTGGCCAATGAGGAGGCGCCGCCGCCCGCGCGCCCCGCCCCGCCGCCGGCACATCCATCCTGGTGCTGGGGTTTGTACAAGCACAAACGGCTCCTGTTCAGTTTTAACGAGGGCTGGGGAATTAGCGAGCGGGATTAGGCCATCAATAAGTAACGAGGCCTGCGGGAGAGACATTCATCACCCGAGGCCTCCAGGGGGGGAGCGGGGAGCCGCCCGCCGCAGCCCGCAGCTCCCCGGGGCGAGGGCGCCTGCCCCGAGAGCCCCCCACTCATCCCGAGCCTGCAGCCCCAGCCCAGAAGTGTGGTGGGGACTTTGGGGGCGGCAGGGGGCCACCCGCGAAGGTGCACCCAGAGGTGCCCAGGTGTGTGGTCCTCCCCAGAGCCAGTGGAGAGCAATCCCCGGAGAGCACCTGCCGCCTTCAGCCCCAGAAGGCTGGGAGTGCGGCCGGTGTGGGGTGCCGCCTCTGGGAGCCCCATTCCCTCTCTCAAGGCGCCTTAGGGGGCAGGGCAGTGGCCAGCTGCACTGTGTTCATGGGGGGCTTCATACCTCACTTCTACGAAAGAGAACAGCCAGGGCGAGGGTTTGGGGGTCTTGGAGAGGGGCGCTATGGGGAGGACCCAAAAGACCCACAATCCAGCAAGCCTCCTTCTTCAGGATAGGCAAACTGAGGGACTGGGAGGGTGACCGCCCCCTTCCCCTGGGGAGGAGCCACGGAGAATGCCCCTTTGCCCCGGCGTGAGTGTGCTTGGTGTGAGCACCGGGCTGCTCTGGGGCTGCACTGTCCCTGGGTCTCCTCTGTCTGAGACTTGGGGGCGGGGGGGGGGGGAGGTTGGCCACGTGCTCTGTGTGTCCTCAGAGGCCGGGAGTGGGGAGTGACTGCGCTGGAGGCAGGCCCCTCAGGCTTTCTGTCTGCATCTGAAAGCAGGGGAAGCTGGATGAGCAGGTGCTGCCAGTGACCTTGAGTGGGGGTCTTTGTGCTGAGTGTGTCGACTTTGCGGTGTTTGGTGCAGTGTGTGTGTGTGTGTGTGTGTGTGTGTATGAGAGAGAGAGAGAGAGAGAGAGAGAGAGAGAGAGAGAGAGAGAGAGAGAGAGATTTCATCCTGCATGGATGTGGATCGTCTCATCAGATCCTCGGGTGAGCTGATGCTCATGCCCGCCCCACTGTCCCAGCCCCCCGTGCAGCCAGTTGCTGCAGTATGTGTGTGTGTGTGTGTGTGTGTGTGCATGCACACACACGCATGTCTGTGTGTTCTGTTGGCACACTGAGCACCTCATCCCCACCCTACTCACCTGGGGACGGCAGTTCAAAGATGACTGCTTCTGTAGCAGGTGGGAGGCTGGAGAGAACTACCTTTGGCATCTGAGATGCAGAATCTCCCCTGAGCCCTGCCCCTTCTGCAGCCTCCACCCTCCAGGGAAGGAAGCCTCCCCAGGGGTCCACATCACAGCCTGTCCCTCTTGCCTTGCCCCCCAGAGCAGCTTTGTTACTTCTCCTCAACCTTGCCACCACCCTCCTTCCACCTTCAAGTTCCAGAAGCCAGAGACCCCCCCCTACTCCCACAGTCTGCCTCCTTGCTTCCTGGGAGGGGTTTAAATGCCCCCTGCCAGTTGCTGGGCTCTCCTTGCTTGCCTGTCCCCTCAGAGTGGTGACGTGATACCTGCCAACCCAGATCCCATTTCCAAACATTAATAACTTCCTTAATCTCCAACTGGCTTTTTCCAGATCAGCCCAGCCAACCCCTTCCCTGAGAAACTGGCTGGTGGGTGGTATTGGGCTCCTCTCCAGCCTCCTAATGTCCCCTGGGCCCACCTCAGTTTCCTGTCATGCTTCATTAATGCCCCTCTCCCCCAAATCTAGTCCTGCCCTGGTTTCTGTCCCCCTGAGCACTCACTTCTGTGACAGCAGCAGCGAGAGAGGAAGGGTCTCTGGGCTATGGGAGGAAGAGGGACCAGCAGAAGCTTCTAGAATGTCCTGGGTGAACTAGGGGTGACCCACTCCATCCAGGCCTGGCCTGGGGGAAGGGGCAGCTGACCAGTCAGCAGAGGATGCTGGTCCTAGGCCAGTTCTCTGCCACTAGAGAGAAAGAAGAGAGGTCATGAGGTGGGGCTGGGGCTCTCAGTGGGACACTTGCTGTCCCCCACTGCCTGAGGGGCTGAAGAATGGAGGGTCCCAAAAGAGTCCTTAGCCACCAGGGAGCCGCTCTGGAAATTATTTGGGATTTGAACTTCTGGGTAACGATGAGAGGGATCCGAGAGAGGGCGGCTTTTGTGGCCCAGAAGAGCTAGCAGCTCTGGATCTAGTTCTTAAGTTCAGGCCCAGAGGCAACAGCCTGGGCCAGGGACCCCAGGCTGGGGGCATTAGAGGGGGCTTCCAATTAATGCCTTTGAAAACTTCCAAGTAGCAGGTTCTACAGCAAGGACTAGAGACCAAGCAGTCCCTGCCTGTGGGGGCCGCCTTCCCGCTGGAGGTGGTGAAGAGAGAAATGCCTGGTGAGAGCCTTGCAGGAAGAGGGCCGGGCTCGCATCGGGACCCCACGCCATCCCAGACTGGAGGAGAAGGAGGCTGGAGAGAGCGAGGGACTTGAGCGGGGTGATACAGGGGAGGCGCGCCACTGCTGGGACCAGGACCCAACACACCTGAGGTTTAGGGGTGCTGGAGGTAGGATGAGGGCCCTCCCACCCCACATACCCTTTGGGGAGCTTCCGCTCCCACCCCACTCTGGCTTCTGTGCAGGAAGGGGCTGCAGCTGGCAGCAGTGTCGGGGAACGCGGCTGTGCGGCTTTTGTTGTGCTTTGAGGGGGGATGGAGTAATCGGCTGTGGTGGCTGCGTGTGGTGCACATGACGGGATGTTGGGGAGACGGGTGCGCCATGTGAGTGCGTGTGCCCATCCCCACTCAGCTGGGCAGGGCGGGCCAGGGCCTGAGGGGCTGCGGTGGGCAGCCCCAGTCCCTGCACACACCGCGCCATGGCCCCTGTCGGCCCTGGGCCCAGCCCAGGCCCGTGGCCCACGGTGCGCGTGAGGACTCTCGGTGGCAGCCAGGAATGTTAATGGTGCCCGGCTCTGCAGGAGCTAAATTTAGAAACCCAAACCGAGAAGGTGAATGGTGCTCACCTTCCGGCAGCAGGCCCGGTCCCGCTGCAGCCCTGGCTCATCCTCAGCTGGGGGACCTGGCCCCAGTTCTGCGTCTGCCCTGCCCCTTCCACTCCTCGGCCTGGTCTGAGGGACCCCGGGGGGCAGCGGAGGGGCCCTGGCCTCAGAGCCATGGCAGCCTCCTTCCTTGGCTGCCTGCCTCCCAAGCAGAGCGCTCAGCCCTGTCCTGCCTCACCTTCCCAGGTTACGAAGCCCCCAGGGAGCCCCCAGACCATGCCGGACACGGCCCTGGGCAGGACTGGGCACGGGGCCCTCTCCCCACCCCCGCCACTCACGTCACTGGCCACTGCCAACCTTGCCCTGCAGGATGCCACCCCCACCATCTGGGGGCGGTGACGTGGACGGTGTGACGTGGCCAGGCGCCTGAGAGCCGTCTGTCCGTGGCAGAGGGAGATGTTTCCGGGAGCCGGGCCAGAGCCCCAGGAGACAGGCGGGCAGGCGGGGCCCCATTCCTGAGGGTCAGGGATGAGGTGCAGGTCAAGGGTGGGGCAGATCCTCCAGCCTGCTGCCAGTCAGGGAGCAGGTTGGAGGGGGCTGGCACCCCACAGTGGTGACAGCCTCACACAGCAGCCCCGGCCTGGATTCGGAGGCCAGGCTGCAGTCTCCTCTCGGTCCCCTGGGCCCTCGGGGAGGCGGGGAGGGCGCCGCCCCGTCTCCCGGGATGAACCTGGGCTGTCTCCACAGGGCAAACGCTACAAGAACTCCTTGGAGACGGTGGGCACTCCGGACTCAGGGCGTGGGCGCAGCGAGAAGAAGGCCATCAAGTAGGTGTCAGGCTTCAAGTTCGGGGAGGGGGTGCACAAGCAGCCTGAGTCGGGGGAGCCCTGTCCCAGTCTGGCCACGCACACACTCAGTTTGGCCGCCACCCTACACCTCAGGGTGGCTCCAGGCCTCTGCCTTTTCTGCCTGTGCCTCTCAGAGCCCCCAGCCCCGGTTCCTGGCCTCTGCCTCCTGCCCCAACCCTGGGTGCTGGTTCCTCCATCCACCCTCTTGTCACGCACACTGTGCCCCCCACCCCGCACCTCCAGTCTCCTCCCATAATCGCTGCTCCCGGAGCCCTCACCTGGGGGGGCTGGGGCACCTTGCTCAGACCCCACCAATGTTCTGAGGGTGACCTGGAGGGGGACAGACCCCAGTGAGGACCACTCAGAGGAAGCAGAGCCCTTCTCTTCCCCATCACCCCCAGTCCTCACCCAGGTTTCCCCATTTTGCTGAGAGCCCTCTTCATGGGGACTGGAGAACCCCCGGCCCCTCTGGGATGAGCCTCTCCCTCGAGGACTCTGGCCTCACCAGTGATCCCTTTCCCGCCCAGCCCCAGCCTTCGCGAGGAGGCTGTCAGGTCAGAATACCTGGGGGTTGTGCGCCCCCACCCCAGGCCCAGCCCACAGGCAAGGGGCTCTGCCTGAAGCCGAAGCCCCCCATCCCTGTGCCCTTGCCTCCTTCAACTCACAGTCCCTGGCCCCTCCTCATGCCACCCCCTGCCCTGCCCTGATCTTTGCCCGCCCCCCCACTTCCCTTCCTCCTGCCCCCTGCTCCTGAGGGCTCCCTCCCTGCCCCACCTCTGCCCCCTCCTCTTTTTTCATGTCTTGCTCTGACCCTGTTTGGGACTGGCTCAGAAGCTGCAGATGGGTGCATTGGGTTGGGTGGTAAGTGAAGGGGTGGACCAGGCCGAGGTTGGGGTGCAGAGGAGCCGCGGAGAGCCTTTGAAGCTGGTTTGATTGCACTCTGCAGCCTTCAAAGTGGAGCCCTGGGAGTCTCAGGCTGTGCAAAGCCCAGGCCCAGGCTTTCTGAAGGTGTGAGGGGCCCCTGGGGGGGAGTGCAGGGCCAGCCCGGTTCCTGGGCCACCTCCAGACCTGCCCCTCACCCAGCTCGCTGCCCAGGGGACCTGCCCCTGCCAGGTAACCATAACGTTCCTGTATCGGGTGTGTGGCCGGGTCAGGAGTCCTGGAAAGGACCCATGGGAGGAGATGGGTTTCCCAGCAAGGGGAGGGCACGGGGTGGGGCGGGGGAAGGGCCAGGACAGCACCCTCCCCCACCCCACAAGGGCTGAGCCAAAGTGAGGGCACACGAGGGCCGTCCTGCCTCTCTGGCAGCCTGTAGACCTGCCTGCCAGCTCCCTCTGAGCAGTCAGGCCCACTGCCCCAGCGGAAGGAAGCCACCTTCCTCCGTGCCCCCAGGTTCCTGGGCCTCCTGCCAGGGCCCACAGCTGGTGGCAGGAAGCAGGGCTTCTCATTGCACCATCTCCCTGTGGACCTAGGACCTCCTCCAAAGGGACCGTCTCCTGGAGGATTCTGGGAAGCAGCCTTCTTTAGCTGTGCTTCTCAAACTGTGCCCCCCGGCATTTGCTCCCCCTAAATGATTACTAGTTATTCCATGAATCAAAGACCCTGACTAAGTTTGGGAAATGCCACATAGTCTCTCACCCTCTTGAAGAGACTGACATTCATTGTCTTACTAAAGGCGCCGACAAGTCCTGCAGTAGGGGAACCTGTTTCCCAAACTCCCTCCATTAAAGGTTCTTTCTTCTAGTCCCGCAGCGGACAACCTGAGGGTCCCCAGAGCTCCCTGGATCACAGGGTGGGAGACCAAGGCAGGGATGCTCCTGGGGGCATCTTTCTCTGTAGGACACCTAGGGTTGGGTGGCCCTTGAATTTGAAGATGCCCGGCTGGGAGAGGGGATCAGAGGACCATTCTGGTGGGAACAGGGTCTTCTGTCCAGGGATCTTGGCCAGGGAGGGCCTCCTACTACCTCTGGGGGTGCCTCCCCCACGCCCAGCCCCATCAGCCCCTGTGAACTCGCTTTGAACCCCTATACACACAGGCACACGCCATACCCACCAGGCCATACCCACCCCTAAGTCAGGGCCCATGTCTCCTTGGGACCTGTGGCTTCTCACTGTCTTACCGTCTTTTGTTCTCGAGTCTGAGGTTGAGAACCAAAATCAAGGTTAACCTTTGCAGTAGAGAAGCTGCTCCCCCTGAATATGTTTTTGGTCGACCCTCGGGGGTATGTCATTGCACCCCCATTGCACCCCCATCCCCAAGTAGGGACCTCACCTTGGCCTTGAGCACAGCAGCAGCACATGCAGCCCATCCACATTACTCCTTCTCAGAGCCCCTTCCCTAATGCATTCCTGATGGCTCAGGCAGGCTACCTTCTGGAATGTTCCTTCAGCCTGTGAACTGCCTCTTCTCTCCCTGTGCGCCTAACTCTGCTCCTCTGGGCCTTTGGAACCTGACAGGCTGGTGAAGACCCTTGCCCTCCTGGGCTTCCAAGCCACACCCTCTGCTGACTGAGGTTTCTCCTACTACCCCCCAACTCCTCTAGGGAAGCCCCCCATCCATTCTCTGTGCTTCCAGCATATGTGCTTTTTTGGCACCACATGTGAAGAGGCAGGAATGTGGGCACTGAGGCAGACCCAGCATCTCCACTTTGGAAAGGGACCAGGGCACAGGGTGAGGCTGCCCCAGCCAGCAGGGCCCAAGGCCCAAGGCTGAGACTGCCCAGCATCTTCCCCAGAGAAGGGGAGGCTCCCTGAGACAGGCCCCAGAGCAGAGGACCTGCTGGGCCTTGGTGACCCTGGTTACCCCCACTAAGGTCAGAGGCCTGGAAGCACTTCCCTTTTCTGGGGGTGGCCCAACCCCCACATCTGCAATGAGTAGCGAGGGTCTCCAGCTCTGCTGGGCTCCTGACCATCTCACGTGAAGTTTGTATCCCAGTGTTTTTCAAAGGGGTTGGAGACAGGGGGCTGCAGGAGTTGGAGGTCCCCTCAAGTCAGTGGGAGGACGAGGAGAAGGGGGGCAGGCAGCTGGGCCTCTCCTGAGTGGCTCTGTGGAGAAGGACAGAAACGGGGAGAGCCTCAGGTGTCGAGAACCAGGCCTCCGCCCCGCGTGGGAGAGCCGCCGGCCTGGTGGTCACAACCACCCTTCTCCTTCGACAGGCGGGGGCCTGAGGCCTGGAGAGCTGGGGCCCCGGGGGCTGGCAGCAGAGCCCAATCTACCTTTTAGCTCTTTACAGCCAGAAACCAGCCCCCGTCCTTCTCCTGCTCCCCACCCCACCCAGTCCTGGTCCCCCGTCCCTTCCCCCCTCCTCTCACCGTCTCTCTCTCTCCCACCAGCTTCCCAGGTGCGAGGCTCGTCCACCTGCTGCAGCTCCTCCTGGCCCGCGAGTGCCTGTGCGCGTGGCCACGGCGTGTGCCTGTGTGCGTGGCCGTGGCGTGTGCGTGTGCTGGGTGCAGGCTGCCCCCACCCCTCCCACCCCCCGCCTCTCTTCCTCCCGCAGGAGCGGACCCCGCCCCGCCCTTGTGCCCACGCGCCCGGCCCTGCCCCTCCCTCTGCCCCCGCAGGACTTGCAGTTCTTGTTTCTTCTTGTATCTCCCTGTTTTCTCCCCTCTCTCTGCCCCTCCAGTGATCTAGACAGAGACTTTTGGAATAACAATGAGAGCACAGTGCAGCAGAAATGGAGCTCCTACCCTCCCAAGGAGTTTATTCTAAACATTTCACCCTACGCCCCTTATGGCGACCCACGACTGTCCCTCAAGTGAGTGACTTTACTGGCTTGATCATATGTTCCGAGTATCCGCGCACGCCCTCCTCCCCCTCCGGCCCCCCACGTCCCCTCTCTCCCGCTCCTCTCCCCCACTCCCCCACCCAGGCCCCCCATGGGCAGGCTGGCCATGGAGACGAGCAACCCCTCCTGCCCCCCTCGCCTGCCCGCCCTCGCCTGCCCCTCCCCCAGGGCCAGCCACGCAGGAGCGTCCCCCCCACGCCCCGGCCCCCAGCTGGCCCCCGCCCCACCCCGCTCTGTGCAGTCAGGATGGGGTTGCCCGTTTTGGTCCCTCCCTCGGCGTGGCTCGCTTCCTCCTCCCTGCTGTGTGCTGCTGCCCTGGCTGCCCGGTGGTGGTGGTGGTGGTGGTCGGTGTCGAGCGGTGGTGGCGGTGATGGTGGTGGTGATGATCTCTGACTAACACGGCTTTCTCTTTCTCCCTGCCTGGGGGCCTCCTGGCCTGGACAGCCCGCTCTTCCTCCGTCGTTAACCCTTCGTTGTCCTGTGGGATAGAGTTGGAGGTGGCTGCCCTCCCCCACCCCCGCCGCCCCAGCCCCAGGCGGTGGGGAGGGGCCCCCCCTCCGTTGTCGTGGTGCGTTGTTCTCCGACCCCGGCCCGCCCGGTCCCCTCTCTCCTCTCTGCAGGCTCCGCTGTTAACACATTTGCAGTGCTGATGTCTCTCTCTCTCTCTCTGTCTGTCTCTTGTCCGTCTGTCTCTCTCCTCCTCTCTCACTGTCTCTTTCTTCCTTTTATCTGTCATTGTTTTTCCTCCTCCCCCCACCCCCCCCTGTGGCCTGTCCTCTCTCCCCCACCGCCACCCCGGTGCCCTTGGCCCGGCTGCCTCCTGCGTGCCTCCAGTGGCACCCTCCTGTCGGGCGCCAAAGTGGCCGCCGCGGCGGGGCTGGCGGTGGAGCGGGAAGGCCGGCTGGGGGAGAAGCCGGCGCCGGTGCCGCCACCTGGAGAGGACGCCTTGAGAAGCGGCGGGGCTGCCCCCAGCGAGCCGGGCAAGGCGGGGAGAGGCCGCTGGCGGACGGTGCAGAGCCACCTGGCCGCGGGGAAGCTCAACTTGTCCAAGTGAGTGATGGCCCCATGGCCGCCGGAGCCAGGAGCTCAGGCCTGCCCCGCCAGGGTGGACAGCGGGACCCCTGGCCTGCCCGCTGCTGCCCCCAGAGGTGCCGTCCTCGGCCCCTGGCTCATTCCATCCTCCACGGACTCCCATCGTCCTTGCCATTGGGCGCAACTCAGCCATCCGGGGTCGCATTCCGGCCTCCGCCCCGCACGGCTCCTGGCCAGCGACCAGACCATTGCATTTTCTGCCCCAGGGCAGCTTCATTTCAGCCCTGGGCTCATCCCATCCTCTTTGGCGGTCCCATCTCAGCCATCGGGCCATCCCTCCGCGGGCGGCAGGCCTGCGGGCATCAGCCGTCGGGCCTTCCCATCCTTGGGGCCGGCCTCCCTCAGCCTGTTTCCTGCTCATCTTCCCTCTTGCCGCCAGCAGGTGGCTCTAGACCAGCGGTCGAGCCATTTCATTTTGACCATCAGGTGACTCCATTGGCTGGGTCAGTTTTGCTTGCCCCACACCCATGTGACAGATCCCCCCACGGGCAGCGGCTGTCCCATTGGCGCTCCTGCATCTCAGCCGCCCCCCTCGGCTGTCCCAGTCTTGGTCAGCAAGCCCTCCCACCAGCTGCTGGGATTGTGTGTTCTCGGAAGCTGGGGCGGTGAGTCCGGCTAGCTTCTCTTTGCTGGCGAGGGTGGTCTGGACATCACACAGAAGAGCTGTTTGCTTTGAAGTAGCTGTCTGAGCTTGCCAAGCGGCCAGTCCCACCTCAGGCGAGGAGCGTAGAGCCGGCCCCTGTGCTCAGCAGGTAGTACATTCCCCTCGCCCCACCCTGGGCCAGTCTTATTCTGCTCTTGGCTTTCAAACCTTCAGTTTCCCCTCAGCTGAGCCCTTCCAGGCTCAAAATCCCTTGAACTATCACCATTGTCCCCCACTGGGACGGAGGCTCCACATGCAGCTATTAGAACTGCCTCGTTCCCAGCTAATGGAGTAGCCTCTCGCTCAGGAGGCCGATAGCTCTGACCCTTCCTTAGCTGTCCTGTTGCCTCACTTCCGAGCCCTCCAGATGTCTTCAGAAGACCCGTGGTTGCCACCATCAGGGTCCCTGAGGGTCACTGTGCCGGCACCATGTTTCCTTGTTGACCCAAGAGAACACAGATTTCTCCCCTGACACCCAGTCTTAGGAGGGTCCCAGAGGGCAGCCCAGCCCCCCTCGGAGAGCCCAGTGCCCCGCCCTTCCCAAGCTGCTCCGGCCACAGACTCCAGGCTGGCGGAGGCCTCCATGCCCTCCACTGGCTCCAGGCCTGGAGGAACCAATTTTAGTTTCCTGTGACTGAGAGGTTGTAAATTGGACTAATTTTGGATGTGATAGGAAACCAAAATGAGGTCAGCAAGGAGGAAGAGGCGGCCGTCCAAGTGCCGTCCTCCCCCTGCTTCGGCCGGCCCCCAGGGAGCTGTGGGCCCACCTGGCCGCCAGGTCTGGGCCTGGCCTGGCGGTGGCCCTGATTCCAGGCAAGGCTGCTGCCCCCCCACCCCAAGACCCATGTTTTGCTTTTTCTCTCTTTCATTCTCTTACTATTCTCTGACTTTCTCTCTCTTTCTCTCTCTCGCTCTCTCTCTCTCTCTCTCTCTCTCTCTCTCTCAGCCCACAGGGGCAGCCTGACTGTTGTCCTCTGGTTCCCAGGGCAAGCTCAGGGGGTGAGCAGAGCGGAAGCCTGGCTGCTGTGGTGAAAGTGGCTCTGAGGGCCCTGGGGCCTCCTGCCTGGGCAGCCGTAGGCTACCCTGAGGTCCAGCACCAGGAGTTGGCAAACTTTCTCTATAAAGGGCCAGGTAAGACGAGGCGTTTGCCCTTGCAATCCCAAAGCCGCCCCACAGTCGCTGTGGATGAGCTGTAAATTACTGAGACTATCCACTAAAACTTCATGTACAAAATCAGGTGGCTGGCCAGATGTGGCCCACAGGTCAGAGTTTGCCAACCCCTGCCCTAGACCATTGGATTGGGAGGTGGAGGGAAGAGACACAGAAGAAGGAGCTGAGCTTTGGCCCTGCCCGTGGGTGCCCTATGTCCCTGCCCCGACCGCAGAGCTCCAGGTGGCCCAGGGTCTGACTCCTTCTGCCTCCATCTCCCACGGTACCTGCAGCACTGACCGGTGCCCCCCATCCCTGCACCCCACCTCATTAGTCTTCCTGGCAACCCTCTTGGAGGCAGTTTGGGGGGTATTTTTTACCCCCAATTTACAGGTGAAGAAACCAAGGGGGTCTAACTTTTCCAAAGTCCCACAGTTAGTAGGTGGCCTAGATGGGGTTTGAACCCCAGGTCTCTGACCCCACACTTGCTGGGGTCCATCCTGGTTCCTTCCTGCTGTCTTTGCCCCATTCCCAGCCGCTTCAGAGTTGCCACTGAGCCCATGGGGCAGGGGCCTTGCAGCTGCATAGAGGGCGGGACAGTCCCCCTGTTCTCCGTCAGATCTGTGGCAGGGTGGCCAGGCTAGTGGGTCCTGGGGCTCCCACCTCATCTACCCTTTCCTCGGTCTCCTCTGACTGGGGGTCATCCCCAGGCACGAGCGGCAGGAACACGGGGCCCGGGAGGGGCAAAGAGCTGCCCCGGAGCCCAAGTCCCGAGGCCGCTCTGACCACGCCCAAGGACCCTCCCTCCCCTCGTGGACAGAGCAGAAGAAAGGCCGCCTCTCCCCACCCCCCACCCCGACTCCCCAAGCATTACTAGGCCAGCTCTGCCCTGGCCTGGATTTCCTGGCGTCTCCAAAGGCCAGTCGTACTTAGAACACAGAGGTAGCCATTCCTGGCATCCCCTGGAGAGACAGTGGGGGGACGGCAGCAGCGCCCTCCCCCCCCTCCCTTTCCAGCAGGACAGGCCACCACAGGGCCACCTTCGCCACGCAGCAGCCGCAGCCTCCGCAGCTCCCCAGCCCACTCAGGGGGGCGGGGGGCGCAGGCACCAGCCGAGCCAAGGCCAGAGGGCGGGCTGGGCAGGGCAACCTGGGGGCCTCCGGGTGGGCACAGGCCTCTGCGGCCTCTGGGCTGACATGGTGGCAGCAACCAGCAGCGACAACACCAATGGAGGCCTGGCGAGGTCCTGCAGAGCGCGCCCTGCACCGGGGCCTCCCAGTCCTGGCCCTCGGCTTCTTTCTCCTCCACTGTGATCCCTTCACCTGCTTCTCCTTTCTCTCCTCTCCTCCACCCGCCCCAAGTTTCGAGGACTCCACCCTGTCCACGGCCACTACCTTAGAGTCTATCCCCAGCTCCGCGGGAGAGCCGAAATGCCAGCGACCCCGCACCCTGATGCGGCAGCAGAGCCTGCAGCAGCCGCTGAGCCAGCACCAGCGGGGCCGGCAGCCCAGCCAGCCCACCACCAGCCAGAGCCTAGGCCAGCTGCAGGCCCACACGGCCTCGGTGCCCGGCCCCAACCCCCGGGCCCATGGCCATGGCCGGGGCCAGGCTCGGCAGGGCGCCTCCGCTGGCTCCAAGTACCGGCCGGCCGGCGGCCGCAGCCGCTCCAACCCAGGCAGCTGGGACCACGTGGTGGGGCAGATTCGAAACCGAGGCTTGGACATGAAATCCTTCCTGTAAGTCCCCCCTTGAGCGGGCCAGCCCCCACCCCCTGCCCCAGCCTCTTTCCCCTGTGCCTCCCAGAGTGCAGCCTGCCGGGCTCTGCTCCGGGGCAGGGTGCCAGGCAGACTGGCCGCCCCCCAGCCTTTACCCCAGCCTCTTGGGGCTCAACTGCCCAAAGTCCCCCATGGAAGGATTCATACGTAGCCCACTGCTGAGCACACCAGCCCCCCCCCCCCCCCCCGTGCCTCTGGGGCTCGGAAATGTGCCGCCTGAAAGTCAGTGTTGACACTAGGCAATGCTGCTAAGGTCCCAGATCTGTCCCCTCCTCCCTGCTGCTCGTCCCCAGCTGCTCCTGCGTCCAGTCCCCGTGGCCCTGGCCAGTGCCCGGCTCCTGTCACCTCTCTCCTCCCCTCCTCCCGAGCCTCTGGCTCCCTTTCCCCCACTCCCAGGCCCTGCCTCCTCCCCTTGGTGTCTTCCCTGTAACCCAACTCTGCTCACCGTCCTGCCCCCGCTTCCTCTCTCCCTCCCTCACTTCCCCTGTCCCTCTGTGACCCTGTCCTCTGCCTCTGTGACCTCTGTAGCCACCTGTCCTCCAGCTCCTGCACTGACCCCTGAGGACAGACCTTGATGTTCTCTCCAAAGCTGAGAAAAAGTTGTTTCCCCTTCAGAACCTCCCTTCAAGTGTCCAGGCCTGACTTTCCCACAGGTCCCCCTCTTTGTCCATCCCCCCTCGTGCCCCTCCCCTCCCTGGCTGGTGGGCACCAGAGGTGGCCCTCTGCCTGCACCCCCCGCCCATCTGCACTCACCCTCAGAGCCCAGGGCAGGCCTGGGCTTCGTCCCAACATCGCCACCCCCTCCAGCCTAACGTGACCTTCCTTCCAGGCTCTCGGGGATGATTTATCTCCCAGGTGTCCCCTGGGAGCACTTTTCTCGGAGCAGACCAGCACGTGAAGCCTGGGAGAGGAGGAAGGGAAGGCCAAGGCCCAGCTCCCTGGCAAGATGTGGGGATTCTGTGGCCAAGCAAGTCCTGCCAAACACCCTGCCTCTGACCGAGACCCCCAGGGCAGAGGCCCCTGACACCAGGGTCCTGCCACACCAGCTTCCTACCGCGCAAGAGGCCCGCGGCCCCACCTGGCAGGACCTGCTGCTTGGCAAACTGGAGTGGCCCATCTGCGGCCTCCACGCTGGGCCCTTGGGACTCCTGCGGGACTGGACGAGCATCCTCCCTCCCGGGCCTCCATCCTCTGTCCACCCTATTTCTGCGCACCCCCCCCCTCCTCTGCTTGTCACCCTCACAGCAGGGGTCTGCATAGCTTTTTCTATCAAGGGCTAGATTATAAATATTTTAGGCTTTGCAGGACACATGTGGTCCCTATCACATTTAAAAATGTACAACCCATTCTTAGCTTGTGGGCTGTACGAAAACGGGCCACCAGCTGTAGTCTGCCGCCCTGACCTCTGCCTCGCAGCGTAGCTGGCAGGTGGCTGAGACCCTTCTCTTGCCTCCGCGCCCCTGCCCCGTGCTGGCGGTGCAGGTCAAGAGTCAAGGTGAGAGCGCTGGCCAGGCCCCCAAGATCCCACCTTCTTGTGGGGATGGAGATATTCCTCCTGCTTATTGGGTGTGATCCCCCATGACCACCAACTTCTCCCCAAATTCTCCCCTTCTCAGCCCTGCAGCCTGCGATGCTGCAGAGAATGACAAATTGGGGATCTATGGAGAAGAGCTGCTTTGTTTTTAAGACGAGCAAAAGGAGTATCTGAAAAATGCATTAACCAGGGAAAAACATGTTGTTTTCCTTGGGTTCGCCTTCCCCCAGCTCAACTAGCTCCCAAGCAGCCAAATGGAATTTTACCAACTCTAAAACAGTACCGGTGGGCAGAGAACAAAGAAATGAGGATTTGTCCTGAGGGAAGGGGGGAGTTGTTTCCCAAAAGTTCGATGCCAACGCAGGTGTCAGCCTGGAATAACCGTGCCCAGGACAGAGACGACAACTAGAAGCAGCCACTCAGCTCCCTCACGCTCAGACCCCGTGGCCACCCCTGCTTTCTGAGACCCCCGGCCACCTTGCCCCATCCAGATGCCCTTCTTACAGAGTTCTCTTCTTAATAACCTCTCCAAGAATTAGCCACAGCCCGCTCTTCCTCCCTAAACCTCGCCCTCCTGGGTGGGAGTTGATGTGGTAGACCTTCTCACCCCATGTCCCTTGCCTCTGGAACATTCCATCGACTTTCATCTCCTCTTGGCCTTTCTTGAGTCCTGCTTTCATGCCTGCCTGGAAACCTTCACACCCCCTGCTGCTGTTGGGGGCGTGACGCAGCACTCAATGAGCTTCTGGAAAATGCCCACGAATTCAGATGTTTTTGAGAGGACACCTTTGGAAAATACAGGTGACCCTGCTGTGAGCCAGTGGTGGCCTGGAATGATGACCTTGACCTGTGGCCCCGTGTAGTGACACCTGTCCTATTCGAGGGCCTCTCTCGCCCTGTCCAATCTTCCTAGATTGGGCCTCCCTCAGAGCGGGATCCCTCCAGACCCCCCTACGGTGGACACAGGCTTCCCTCTGTCCTGCCAGGATATCTCCAGGCCACACCACATGCCTGCACTTTCTCTCCACCTTTGCACTTTCTCTCCACCTTTGGTCTTCGTGCCTTCGGAACTGCGTCTTCAAGACCCCAAAGCCTTGGCGGTCACTCCCAGATCTTCAGGAAGGCAGATGCAGAAGGCCTACCATGGCCGGCTCCCGTGCGGAAAGGGGTCCATGCTCCTCTGAAGGGCATGTGTCCAGGGACCTGGGGGAGGGAGCTGCTGGCATCAAGGACACCTGCCGAACAAGACCCAAAGGGACGTCTTTATCAGACCTTCCATAAGCAGAGGGCTCGGTGCCCACTGGATCCTGAACTTTCTAAGAACCTCCCACCTGGAAACCCACACCTGCTTGCACAGACCTGAAGCAAGAAGGCACCAGAGCCCTCCCTCTTCTCCCAGGGACCCTGTGGTCAGAGCCAGTAGCCTCTGGCCTTTGTGCAATTCAAATGAATTAGCCCTGGAAGTCAGGGTGCCCCAGGGCCTGTGCTCTGCTCCCCAGCAAAGTCCCAGGCACAGCAGCCTCGGCCATCCCTGCCTCCTCCCTCTCCAGAGAACCTTGCTCTGGCCCCCAGGGCGCAAGGCCTGGGGCATGGAAACGCCCTCCCTGCCCCCTCCCTGCCAGCCCCCTCTGCTCTACACCTGTTGACAGTGCTGAAGTTTGGTTTCTCTCCTGCAGGGCCAGTTTCTTACGCTGTTTTCTTCTCTCTCTTTGTCTCTGTCTCTCTCTCCTTCCCCTCCCGCCCCCGCCCCTGGGGCCTCCCGCTTCACCCCGGCTGGTGGGCTGCCCGCCCGGGCAGGGAAGGCCGGATGGTGGTGCTATCCTTGGTCTTAGGGCTTTCGGAGCAGGATGACTTTGCCAATATCCCTGACCTGCAAAACCCAGGAACCCAGCAGACCCAGAACGCTCAGGGGGACAAGAGGTACGAGCACAGGCGAGGGCCTGCGGCGCGACGGCAGCGGCAGAGAAGGAGGCGCGAGAGGCCGCCCGCCTGACGGCCCGGCTGCTGGACCAGGCGGCGGTGGCGCCGTGGCCTTCAGCAGATGCTGGAGCGGGAGGACAGCCCCTCCCCGGCCGGCGCCCTCACGGGGCCGCGTGGTGGTATCCCTTGGGTCTGAGGCCCACGCGGCCGTCCTGGGACCATTCTGGATCAAGCCTGCTCCCCGGGCCTGCTTGCCCGCGCCTCGCCCGGAGCAAGCCAGCCTCTACCCCATCTCCCTGCTTGGCTCCCCTCTGCTGCCCTCATCTTTCATCTCTGCCCCACCCTGGCCCAGAAATCCCTGTTTCTCTGGTGGTTGGTGGGCAGCAGGGATGTTAGGGAAGGGGCCCTGGCCCCGCTCCCTCATCCCCGCCACCTCAACCTCCCTCTTGCCTGGGGGCCCGAGGGGGCTGTGGTCGCACACTCCACGGTGGGCTGAAGAGGAGGAGCTCCTGGCAGGGAGGGCTGGGGCATGGGGGGAGTCTGGTGGCCAGAAAGAAACAGGAACGCATCCCTGGAGGTCCCAGGAGGAGGGACGGGGGAAGCAGAGGCAGCCAGCAGGTGCCCCTCCCTGTGGCTTCAGCCCTGCTGCTGGCCCCAGACCCCTGAGGGGACCAGGAATAGCCCCTGTGGCCACAGCACAGCCAGGCAGAGGGCTGGGCGCTCAGCTGCGCGTGGGCTCGGGAGCTCAGCCTCTGCTGGGCCTGTCTCAGGGGGGTGGGGTGTGGACACTGCTCATCGGAAGGCAAGAGGTTGGAGGTCCCAAGGCCAGGGGTCCTGCACTGGCTGGGTGCCTCTCCCCTGGCCACGGGCTGGGCCACACACCTGTAGTCATGGGAGGAGGCTCATCTCCGGGGGCAGGTCTGCTTCTCGCCAGGCCTAAGGCCCCACAGCCAGGACGCCTGCCCGTCGCTCCACTTCAGCCAGGGCCTCACTCTGCAACCCTGAGCAGGTCACAGCCTATCCCTGGGCCACTGTCCTGCCTGTCAAACGAAGACTTGGACAGTGTGGCCCCTTCCAGCTCGGACACGCTAAGCTTCTAGTGAGGGAAGGGGGGTGGGCCGCTTGCCAGATCTGTGAGCTGGGCAGGGGACTGAGGTGCAAGAAGGGACTGTCCCAGGTGGCTGCCAGGGGCTCTGGGGTGGGGGCGGGTCGGCCGAGTCAGACGGCCAACAGGAGTCCCTCTCGTGGCTTCTGGAGAGCAGCCCTCTCATATCCTCCCCATCCCCAAGTCCACAGCCGCATGTCTGTGGCGGGCAGAGGCAGAAGTCCTGGGGTTAGGGTGGGGGGGAGCAGGACCAGCTCTTTCTCTCAGAGGCTCAGGTGGTGTCACACTTCCCACCCACCTGGCGCTTCAGATGCTTCCTGAGTCTGGCCTCAGAACTGGGCCCCAGGCAGGCCAGAGGGCTGCCGGGAGAGGGCCGGGGCCACGGGAGGGCGAGAGGCTGCAGGAGGGAGGCCGGAGCCCTCTGAAAGTCTGCTAAGAAACCGAGCCCCATGCTGGGGAAAGGTGTGAAGCGTGAGGGAGCAGATGCAGGCTGGAAACGAGATTTCACATCACCCATGTGTTAATTAACTGGCTCCATTTTCACCCACAGCCTATTTTTGCCTCCTTGCCACTTAGGTCTCACTCCATATTTTAACACACCCATCCCTTCTGATCATTACATCAGCTTGTCCCCTGCCATCCTGGGAAAGGTGCGTGTGGAGGTGGAGGCCCCGGGCCCCGCCCAACCTGACTTTCCCAGTGGACACATGCATTCCCACCTGGTCACACCCACCCCATCCTGGAAACTCATTTCTCATGGCTCCAGGGGTGTTCCCCAGGTGAGGCCGCTGCCAGGGGGTCCAGAACTGAGCTCTCCTTCCCCACAGTCTCCCCGTCCCCAGGGTTGGCATTGGCACCACCCGCTGGGCACCAGGCCCCTCAGGGCTCCACTTGGCTCTGGGACCTCGGGCAGGTGGGCCGGGGCCAGCTGTCTCGTCCTGTCCAGCTTTTGGGTCTTCCTGTCCAGACATAGGGTCTTCCCTCCTGCCCCAGCGCCCCCTCCTTTACCGCAGCTGATCCCTGAGGTCAGCTCAGTTGGTGTCATACCCTGAACCTGCCAGATCTAAGGCCCCGGGGCTGTCCCAGGGTCACCCTCAGAGGGCTGGGTGTCCCTTGATGGTTGGTGGGGAGACAGGGAGCCCTAATGTGTAGGCAGCCAGCTCCTGGGAGACGAGCGACCAGGTCCCGAGGGAGGTGGGAGGGTTGGTCACCGCCCCTCTCCTGGGTTCCAGGTGGCTCTGAGGCCCCCCCATGCGGAATCCCCATCTCTGGGGGCCCCAAGGACTTCAGAATGCCCTTGGCCCTGGAGGGCGGGAAGCCAAGGCCACCCTGGCCCACTCCTGGCTCTGCCATTCCACCTGCCCCCATCTCACCTCATGCTCCCACATCCTCGTCAGCCATTGCTCCTTGGGATCCAAATGGTTTCCAACCGTGGCCCCACCCCCACCCTGGTGGGGTGCAGGGCAGGGACCTGGCCACCCCATCGCTCTCCTCGCCCCGAAGCCGCCATGTTTCTTCTGTCCTGGTGTGTGTCTCCCGCCTCTCTGCCTCTCCTCTCGGCCGCCTCGCTCCTCCTTGGCCCCTTGTCCCCCAGCAGCCTCCTCCGCTCGTCTCCAACTAACCTTTCTTGGCCTCTCTCTCCCCCTCTCCTGCCCCCCATCTGCTCCTCACAGGGATGTCCCGGGCCGGTGACGCGCCCCTCCGCCTCTCCCTCTGCCTCTGTGCTCTCTCTGTCTCTCTGTCCTGTGACCTCCGGTAGCTTCCGTGGCGCTGACCATCTCTTCCCAGGCTGCTTTGCAGCTGCGCTGACGCTGTGGTGTGGCCAAAATAACTCCGACTTTCTCATACCTTCAGCAGTCAACCTCGCGTGCTCTCCTCTCCTGCTCTATTTTTAACCTGACTTTACCTCTCCAGCTATTTCAATCTCCTCTTCCTCCCGTGCCTGTCTGCGTGAGCACGTGTCCGCTCGCGTGTCCGTGTGTGTCTGTGTGTGGTGTGCGTGCACTGCTGTGGCCGTGCCTCTGGGGGTGCCCGCATGGCCCGGGTGGGGCGGGGTGGGGTCCTCCCTTGTCCAGCCGAGGCCAGGGTCTCGGCAGGCGCGCCCGATGCTCGCGGCTTCTAGTCCCTGAAGCGGCTCCCTGTGCCTTCCGGTCCTGGCCCGACGCCCGCGTGCAGCTCGGCATGCCTGGTCTCCCCACGTGTGTCTCCCGGGGTCCCCTCTGCTGCCTGTGCCATCCCCTCCCCGTACCCCAGTATCGGTTCATGTGTGCTCCTGTGTGTGCGCACGCCCTGCGGGGGGGTCCCGGTGTCCCCCCTCCAGGGCTGGCACCTTCCGCGCATGTCTGTCTTGCCTGCGGTGGCCAACCTGGCTGGCAGCTGGTCCACACCGAAGCTTGTGTCTGGCGCGTGGGTGTCGAGTCTGTGGCTCTAGTCCTGTGCGCTGTCCCTTCGTAGCCGATCCTGAGCCCCTGCTGCCGTCTGCCCGGCTCTTCCACGCTGCCTGCCCCCGCCTCTCCTCATGGATGTTCCAGCCTGGTCCCTGGGCAGGTTCTTAGTGCCCCCGTCCTGGCCTCCGGCTGGACGGAGCCGGGGCTCATCGCCCGGTGCTGGCCAGAGAGCGCGGCTTCCCAGGCACAGCGTGGAATCGGGTGCAGACAGGGCCTGGCGTGGAATGGTCAGGTCCGGGGGTTCTCGGCGGTGCCCCATGTTGCTCGGACCCTGGATGACAGCCTTGTCAATGTGCAGCCCTAGAGCGGGAGGGTGGGGCCGGGGAGCAAGGGGCGTAGGCTTCCCCAGCCAAGAAGTGGCTCTTCACAGCTAAATTACTTTCAATCAAAATCATTCGCCACACATGGACATCACGGACCTAGGACACTTCTGTCACCATAGAAAGTTCTGCGCACGGTGGCCCTGACCTCACCCGGCCGGTCTCACGTCGAAGGGCACCTATGTACTTGCTGACCTGAGCAAACAGAGGTGGGGCCTCCGGGAGCTAGACGCTGGGCATGTGCCGAGGGCACCAGTGCTAGACACTGGGCGTGGTGCTGAGGGCGCCGATGCAGTGAGTTGGTCTGGACACGCCCCACGGAGCCAGCCCTGCCGAGCGGGCGAGTCAGGGTGGGGCAGGCCTTGGGTAGGGGTCACGCCCCAGACCATCGTGTAAGCAGTGACTGGAGGGCAGGAGATTTTTCTGGGGTCACCCGCTAACACAACACCCCAGGGGGAAGTCAAACTGGATCACACTGGGGTCCAGGCCAGGGGTGCCAGCTATAAGGAGGGCAGGCCCTAGGCCCTGGTCTCTGAGGAAAACCAGGCCTCCCGGTGAACAAGGTGGCAGCTGCGTGGTCTCAGAGAAGGTCCTGCTGCCACCAGGCCCGTGGCGCCCAGCCCAGCCCACCTCGGCCTGTGCTCATTTGGACTCCCTACCCCCAGGTTGCCGGCAGGAGGGAAGGCGGTGAACACAGCCCCGGTGCCCGGCCAGACGCCCCACGATGAGTCTGACCGCCGGACCGAGCCCCGTTCCTCCGTCTCGGACCTCGTCAACTCCCTCACCAGCGAGATGCTCATGGTGAGCAGGCCCAGAGGCCAGGCAGGGGGAGGGGCGCGTGGGGAAATTGGCGACAGCGTGGCATTCGTCCGTCCACTCAGCAAGGCCGCCCACCAGCGCCTGGTGACTGAGGGAGCAGGGCCTGGGTGCTTTCCCGGCTCTCCCACCAAAGTGGCCTCTCTGTGCCTCAGTTTCCTCATATGTCAAGTGACAATAGGAATGCCCGTCTTCCTTCAGTCCCTGCCTGGGCTGAGCAGGGACCTAGGAAAGCCTACTCAGAGATATCCTTATGATCTCGGGAGAGGCTAGTGGACAGAGCACTTGGGGCAGAGGCGTCCCCTCCTTCAGAGTGGCGTCCCATCGAGGGGAGGCCTGAGGAGCTGCTCCCAGCCAAGGGGCCTGTCCTCGGGGCCTTCACCAACCCCTGTTGCTGGGGCAGGTGGAGGCCCGAAGTGAACAGGAGAGCAGTTCTGACCCCTGGATGGGGCCAGCTATGCTGGGGTACTCTTGTCCACACCCCACCAGGACCCCAGTCCGCAGGCTGGGGCTGCCCACCAAAGGCAGAATTTGTGGTTCCCATAGTGGAGGCAGCGGTGGTTCACACTGTTCACCCTACAGAGCTCAAAGGGCACCACTCGGAGGCCAGGGCCAGAGTGAGGACATGGTGAATGGGCAGCTGAGATTTGCAGACAGGAGTCAGCTCCAGTCCCAGGAAGGCCTAGAGCGCGCGTGAGGCTTGGGCCGTGGCCTGCTGTGGTGCTAGTGAATAGGGGCCCTGGGACAAGCCGCTCCCCCTGCCTGGACCTGGAGCCCCTCTCCGCTAGAGAGGAAGGGGACTGGGTGGCTCGTAGTCCTTCCTCAGTCCTGACATTCGATTCAGGGTTCCCTCACCCATAGTCCTGGCACCGCAGCCCCCACCGTCCCTGGGCTGGTCCCCAGCCCCCAGGTCCCACCCTTCTGCTGTTTAAGGTTCCGGGTGGCTTTAACCGTCCATTCCCCTGCCCTCATCCAGCCCGGAGCCTCTCGGATGGGCATATGCACACGAATTGCCAGCATCTTAAGTGCGGGTTCCCGGTCAGCAGGCCCGGGCTGGGCCCAGAGGCGGCACGTGTCTTCCCTGCAGATTGGCGTGTCAGAGCTCCCCATTCCTCAGCTGGTCTCCCTCGGGCCTCCCCACCCCCTCCTCCCTGCCCCACCCGCCGTGTGCCAGCACTGCCCTGTCCATCCGCCCCCCATAGGTGGGCCTGGGCTGTGCTCTCCTTTGGGCCAGCCATCGCCACACACCGGCCTTCTTCCCTGCACAGCCTCTTAATTGGCTACAGCTTCCTGGTAGCAGGTTCCCAGGAGGGACGGCCCTTGCCCAGCCCGCCCAGGGAGGGGCCGAGAGGGCAGGCAGAGGAGAAGCACAGGCCCCTGCGCCCTCTCCTTGCTCAGTGGATGCTGAGATGCTGGATCTAACTGCCCCCCCGCCAGGCCGAGGCAGGGTCACTGGCCCATATGACCGCCAGGTCCCCCGCTGTCAGAAGTCGGGGGTCAGAAGACAGGAGTCAGGCTCCCACAGCTGGTCAGGAGAGGCGGCCGAGGCAAGAGGGGTCAGAGAGGAGGATGGGCCGTCGCCATAGCTCTTCCACCAAAATGGCCTCTCTGTGCCTCAGTTTCCTCATATGTCATGTGACAATAGGAATGCCCATCTTCCTGCTCTGGGCTGAGCAGGGACCTAGGAAAACCTGCTCTGTGAGATATTTTTATGATCCAGGAGAGGCTGGTGGACAGAGCAAAGGAGGGTGAAGCACGTGGCTCAGGGCAGGCGCGTGCGTCGTCTGCGTTAATAGTGTGTAGAGGCTTCCCACCTGGGGCAGGTGAGTCCTCGCTGGCTTGGGGGGAGGTCTCAGAATTGGCCTGGGATTGCTTTGGTGGAGAGTGGACTTGTAAGGCAGGGAGCTCGTACTGCTGTGCCGTCTCGGACCTGTGACTTAACCTCTCTGAGCCAGTCTCCCCCACTAGAGAGTGGTGATGACGGCCCGGCTGTTGTCAGGATTCAGTGAGAAGGTGATGTAAGAGTCTTCTGCCATGGTAGGTGCACACTGCGCGTCTTCTTACCATCTGTGCCATCTAGTATTTCAGAGCCTCGGGGTGCCCCTCCAACAGGAAGGAGAGGGTGCAGAGAACGTTCCAGAAGGGGAGAGGGGGAGAGAAAATAGATGCCAGCAGTTGTCTCTCCAGCGTGGCGCCCTGTTTCCCCCCTCCTGCACCCCGGCTCTCAGCCAGTCTGCTGAGGGGCTTTTATAAACGGATGCTGCATGGACCCCCCAGGCCCGGGGTGGGGTCTGGGGCAGGTGCCAGATGGCTGGGGTGGAAGGTTGGGGGTGGGGCCAGGATCTAAAATCTCCCTCTGAGCAGCCACAGTGGGAACACTTGGTTGGGAGGCCCCCAATTTCTTCCTGTTTTGTCCATGTCAGCCAGGGGGCGGGATGCCTCCCACCCTCCCCTCCCTGTGTCTGTGCGTTGCTGGGGGGCCCAGATGATCACGCCCGGGGGCTGGGTCTGGAAAGCAGGGTAGCCCTCCCCTCCAGGGGGCCTCAGCCCTGGTGAGCGGAACAATCCCGAGGTCCCTTTAAACAATTCTGAGGTCCAGGCCCCCACCCCAGCGCCATCAAATCAGGCTCCCCAGGGACGGGCCTGGGAGTCTATATTTTAAGATCCCTGATTACACAAATAGGCATGGCTCCTGCGAATTTGCCTCTCTCGCTTTGTAAATCACATATGCCTAGAGCCCCAGAGAGCCACCTTCCAGAGAAACACCTCGGGAAACTCTTGTGAGACGTGAACGGCCTCCCTCGCCTGCTTCATAGCAGGGCTTGGCGCTGGTGTACCTCACAGCACCCCTCAGGGCTGTGGCGGGGTGGGGAGCCCAGGACCCAGGTGCGCCGCTCAGCTGTGACCTGGGGGGTAGGGGCAGACCCCGACTTCCAGGAATGGGGTGCGCACTGCTCTGGGGTTCAGGAGACAGGGGCTGTCCTGGCTCTGCCCTCCCTCCCTGTGTGTCCCCGGCCGAGGCACTGACCCACCACCTGAGCATCCTCACCTGAATGTGAACATGGACCTGGGGGGCCAGGGGCGGGCCTAGGGGGCCGGGGCGGGCCTGGGGGCAGGGGGCAGGGCAGCTCTCAGCAGCTGGACTGTGCTAAGCTGTGCGGACTTGGGGGACGCAGAATCCTTGCCAACCCTTTCCCCCTCCCCCAGCTGTCCCCAGGCTCCGAGGAGGACGAGGCCCATGAGGGCTGCAGCCGAGAGAACCTGGGCCGGATCCAGTTCAGCGTGGGCTACAACTTCCAGGAGTCCACGCTCACTGTGAAGATCATGAAGGCCCAGGAGCTGCCCGCCAAGGACTTCAGCGGCACTAGTGACCCCTTTGTCAAGATCTACCTGCTGCCGGACAAGAAGCACAAGCTGGAGACCAAGGTGAAGCGCAAGAACCTGAACCCCCACTGGAATGAGACCTTCCTCTTTGAAGGTGAGGCTGGTGCCCACCCCCCCAGCCCCCTACTGCCGCCACCCACACCACGATGTCTAGATGCACACATGTGTGCTTGCACCTGCCCACGCGGGCCGGTGTCTTAGTGCAGTTAACTTGTGTGCACGGCAGGGTTCAGGTTACAGGGCCCTGTGAAGCGGGCGTCACAGCCCAGGTGAGCAAGACGACCGCCCATGGTTTCAACCCAGGCACAGGACCCCCAAGAAGGGCAGGCAGGAAGGCAGGCACCCACAGGACCCAGAGGTGGTGCTTCTAGAACCACCGTCCTGCAAGTTGCGGGCACAGGTGTGGTCCAGGCTACCTGAGTGTGAATCCTGGCTCCATCTCTTCTAGCTGTGTGACCTGGGGCAAGTTCCTGAACCTCTCTGAACTGTTTCCTCACCTGTAAAAGATAATAAGAGTGAGGATTAAGCAGATCAGTAAATGGTAAAAAGCATTTACAGCTGTGCCGGATGCTTTATAAACCACTTTATGCCCATTTGCTAAGTGCCCTCCATCTGTTCCCATCCCCTGACACCTCCCGTGTGGACAGCCCCACCCCTCTGATGCTGGGGAATGATTAAGACTTCTCTTTGTGTCTTATCTCTGAGGATTCAGGGTAACCAGGAAGCCAGGTGTGTGATCAGGAAGTGATTTCTGACCCAGGGACTTTGAGTGCCTCAACCCACTTAAAGAAGCCCTAACCCTTTCACCCAGGAGAATAAATCACACTGGCTCTCCAGAAGCTTCCATGTGCACCCCAGGGACGCTTTCCCATCTGGTGCCCCTTCTGCAAGGTGACAGCCAGCTGCTAAATAAAGCCTGCTAGCTACTAAAGAAAGCACTGAGGGGGAGCTAAGGGGTGCCCTTTGTTTATGGACCCTCCCCCCAGGTCAGTGTGGGGGCCAATTTGGAGATGGCACAGCCAGTGAAAGCCTTGGCTCAGGATGGGGGTGTAGCACTGTCCTGGATGCTGGGGCGGCCCTCGGGGCATTCCTGGTCTACACAGGACACAGGTGTGCAGATAACTAAGCCGCACGCTATGTGGCCACAGTCTCAGCACTCCTGGGGAGTGTCCGACCTGGCTGGCCCCTCCTCCAGCCTCCCCAGGGACGGTGACTCCAGCTCCAGACCCTCCCAGGCTCCCTCCTACTCCCCCTCTCCCCCACCCCACCCTCGCCTTAGCTCCCATTCCATACCCATCGCACCATCGGACCACTTTGCCGGCATTTATTCATTGGTTCAATTGTTTATTCACTTAACTTATTTATCGAGTGCCTACTACGTGCCAGAAGCCACGTTAGAAACTGGGATCTGGTGGCTGAGGACAGAGATGCCTTCCCGGAAATCCTCTCCAAGGGAGGGAGTCAGGCTCCAGGGGAGAGCAAGAAATCTCCATTACAGCTGGTGATACATCCGTGAAAGGAAAGCTCTAGAGGGTAGAACCAGGGGCCCCACCCATCTGGGGCGCCAGGAGAGCCAGCTGAGACTTAAAGGAAGAGAACAGGCCAGATGGCTGTGAGGGGTGTGGCGGGACAAACCGGTGGGCTGAAGGGCAGGAGGGCACCTCGGGTGGCTGACCCCCGAGCCCCGAGCCCCGTCAGGAGCCACCCCGTCTTGAGCCGAGCAGGGAGAGGACAGCGGGCGAAGCTGGGGAAGGAGCCAAGGCCGGGCTCCGAGCCTGGAAGTGCCCCGGGGCCTTGAAAGGGTTTGAGCAGGATGTGAATTTCTATTTTTAAAAGCTCGCTCTGGCTGCTGTGTTGAGAATGGGCTGAAGGAGAAGCATGCAGCGGGAGAGCAGTTTGGAAGCTCTGGGGACTGTCTGGGCAAGAGGTGCCCAGTGGCATGGGTGAGGGAGGTGGCAGTGAGAGGGGACAGCTGAGGGTCCCTTTGGGAAGGCTGGTGGGCCGGCAAAGTGCTGGCAAGGGGCCTCAGGACGTGCAGCCCCTCCTCATTCTGTGTCTTGGCATGGCCCTCTGTCCTAACCCTCCCGGGGCGCGCCCTCCTGCAGTGGGGCCATCTCTGCTGGAGCCCTCGCCCCGTGCCCCGGTGGCAGCACTGCTGGCGAGCAGAGGGGCAGCGGCTGCTGGGACGGGCACACGACGACAGGGAGCAGATGCCCCATGATGCTCTTCAGAGCTCTGAGCAAGTCGCTTAAGCCATCAGCGCCTTGGTCTCCCCGCTGTGAGATGGGCAGGAGACCCTCCGGGGGGCAAGGACCCCTGCCAGTTCTCCGCAACGCAAGAGTGTCTGAGAGGGTGCAGCCTGCTGTGCCCGGCCGGTGGCCCCTCAGCCTCCACCTCACCTGCACTGTCTTCCCCCAGGTTTCCCCTACGAGAAGGTGGTGCAGAGGGTCCTCTACCTCCAGGTCCTGGACTACGACCGCTTTAGCCGCAACGACCCCATTGGGGAGGTGTCCATCCCCCTCAACAAGGTGGACCTGACCCAGATGCAGACCTTCTGGAAGGATCTGAAGCCATGCAGCGATGGGAGTGTGAGGCCCCGCCTCGGGCCCTGGGCTGGGGAGGGGCGGGGGGTGCTGGCAGGTCTGCCCCCAGTTCCTCCTTAACCCGAGGAAGGTGGAAGGCTGGGCTTGGGTGGAAGCCTGATGAGGGGAGTCAGAGTGACAGGAGGAACAGGCGGGGCGGGTGAGCACCCATGTCAGTGTGGGGGGCGTGGGCAGTTGGGCCAGCCAGGGAGCTGGCTATCATTTCCTCACCCGTCTCCATACCCCTCCCATGGAACCTAAGGGAACAGCCCCCCAGGCCTCCCCACGGCCCAGCCTCACCGCTCCCTCTGCGTCTCCAGGGGAGCCGAGGGGAGCTGCTCCTGTCTCTCTGCTACAACCCCTCTGCCAACTCCATCACCGTGAACATCATCAAAGCCCGGAACCTCAAAGCCATGGACATCGGGGGCACATCAGGTGCGGGCCCTTTCTCGTGACAGGGTGGGCGGGTCGGGGGAGGTTCTGGGGACACTGGGGTCATGCTGAATATGGAGCAGGGGACTGCATGGCAGCCCTCACCCCCAACCCCTGCGCCCCGCTTCTGGCCCCAGCTCCTGCTCTAGAGCCCTTGTTGGCTCCCTTTGGAGCATCCTCGGTGTCAGCCTCCCCTCGGACTCCATCCTTCCCGAATCAGGAGGAAAGGGCACGCTGCTGGGGAGACCTGGGTTCCAGCTCCAGCCCCGACACCCTTGTCTGGGGCCTCGGCAAGACCTGGCCACTCGGGGGCTGGTTTCCTCGGCGGTGCTCACGGGACCCCAGATGATGCAAAGGCTCCTTCCAGCTCTTCCGTGGTGCCCCCCACCCCTGAGCTTTCCTTGCCCTCTAGGGAAAGCCTTCAGCCCCTTCTGCTTTGGCTTCCTCACCTGGAGGAAAAAGGGGTCCTAGGGAGCCCCACCTCCTGCCCCACTGATCCTTCCTCGACCCATCCCCCAGACCCCTACGTGAAGGTGTGGCTGATGTACAAGGACAAGCGCGTGGAGAAGAAGAAGACAGTGACCATGAAGAGGAACCTGAACCCCATCTTCAACGAGTCCTTTGCCTTCGATATCCCCACGGAGAAGCTGAGGGAGACGACCATCATCATCACCGTCATGGACAAGGACAAACTCAGCCGCAACGACGTCATCGGCAAGGTAGGAGCCGGGGGGCGGGGGGACACACAGCCAGGTCCGGCAAGGGTTGATCCTTAAAGAAGCAGTGGGTGAACGGCGAACACGGGGAGACGGCACCCCCGGGCCTCCATTTCTTCTGAAAACAAGGAGGGTGAACGAGATCCCGCTCAGAGCCCGCCTGTGGGCTGTCAACTAAAGACAGATCGCCATGAGCACGAGGGAAGAAGGAGGTGGGAGAAAGAAGCTCCACAAAAGTGGGGTTTGGGCGAGGACCCTCAGACAGGGGGAGGTCCTTGGAGAAATGTCACCTGGGGCCCCATCTGCAGAGGGAGAGCTGGGGAGGGGTGAAGGGCAGGCTCCAAAGACCTGGCTTCTGTTCCTGCCGCGCGTGCTGCCTGCAGCTGCGTGACCTCAGGCCGGACGCGGGCCTCTCTGACCTTCGGGGTCCTCATCTATAAACAGGAGCTGCCAATGCCAACCCTGCAGCAGTCCACAGGGTCGTGTAGAAAGTGGCCTCTCCTCTGCATCTATCAACCCAAAGAGTCTATGCTGGGCCTTGCGTTTTCCAGGACACAGTCCTGTGACATCAGCTTTGAAGTATCTACTGCTGTGGATGGTTTAGTGTTGAGCACGGGGGCTCGGGAGTCAGACTGGGTCCTGGTTCCAGCCCCACCTGCTGTCACTTGTAGCCTTCGGAGCCTCACTTCCGCCTCTCAAAATGAGAATGAGTCCTAACCTCACTGTGTGCCGAGAGGACCAAACACTGAGGAGCTGCTTGTGCAGTACCTAGATCAGGCAGTCCTGAGACCACGCCAATGGCTGGGGCCGGCAGAGGGATGCCAGAAGCCAGTGAGGGAAGGACAGGGGTCCCCTAGGGCCTGGCCTCCTCGGGGGGAAACGGGAAAGGTAACCTGGGCACCCGCAGGGAATAGGGCAGAACTGGAGACGCCCCTCAGGTTGATGGGAATGGAGAACTTAGCTATTGGGGGTGAGGGAGGTGGCTAGTGTCCAAAGAGCTGACCCGGCCCACCACCTGGCCAGGCCCAGGGAGCGTGACTAGCTGTCCTGGGTCACAGATGAGACTGTTCCCCAGGACGGCCATCACCCACACACTGGTCTTGGGACCTGCCGAGCCTCTTCCTTGTATAGCTCAGGCCAAGGGCCAAGGAACCACATCTAAGCTCTCCTGAAGCTCACCTGACCCCCTGCTGCTGACCACCAGTCACAGCTCCTTTTGAAATGATTCTACTTCCTGTTGGGTGAACCACAGCGAAGGTGGATTTGTCCTCACTTCAGCCCGGGTAGCTCAGGGCACCCCCTATTCTGCCAGCGTCAGTCACAAGCTAGGGTCAGCTGCACATGGGGTCCCATAAGGTGTGAGCCCCTAAAGCAGAGGACAGCAGGCTGGGGCTAGTGGTGTAGAGCCAGAAAGACTGGGTCTCAGCCCCTCTGTGCCCTTCATAAATTCTGGGGTAAGTCTCTTAACTCTTTGCACCTCAGTTCCTCCATCTGTAAAATCGGGGTAACCATACACGGCGAGTCCTCACTTAATGCCATCCATAGGTTCTTAGAAACTGCAACTTTAAGTGAAGCACATATAGGCAGGTCCTCCACTAATGTCCTATTGTCATAATATCACTGGGAAAAACAAAACAGCGGCCAATGAGTGTGACCTTCTTCAAGCACCTGCTATACCTGCCGCACAGGTGCGGATGTGACGACCAAGCTGTAAAAAGCCCTGCTTCCTGCCTGGCCTGTAGCAAGTGCCCGGGAGAGGGAGTGGCTGTGAGTAAGGAGAGATAGTGCCCAAAAGGTAGAGCATGGGGAGGGCGTGGGAGCAAGGGGCCCCCACCCCTCCTCCAACCCCCCACTACAAAACAGGCCCGAGTCCGATTCTGGGGGGCCAGACATGCCCAGGCTCCCCAGGGAGGCCAACGAGGAAAGTAGATCAGGCTGGGAGGGAGCAGGCAAGAAGGGGGCCCCAGGGGTAGGTGATCAGGCTTGAAGAGGCCTGGCTGTTTCCATGATCACAGGTTAGGGTGCTGTGGAGATAGAGAGTCTCCCCCCAGTGGGGGCATGAGGCAAGGCCTCCGCCAGTACCTCTAATGCCACCCTCTTCCCTTCCTCCCCAGATCTACCTGTCCTGGAAGAGCGGCCCTGGGGAGGTGAAGCACTGGAAGGACATGATTGCCCGGCCCCGACAGCCCGTGGCCCAGTGGCACCAGCTGAAGGCCTGAGTGGGGCCAAGGGAGGCCTGGGGGGCCAAGGGCCTGGGTCGCCATCATGCCCTCACCACTTTATGCACAATGCCCAGCCTGACCCCCCTGCCGTGGGGGAGGGGAGGACCCTGAGGGCTCGGCCAGGGAGGGGGCCCAGGAATAGTTGGGCCCAGTTTCTAGGAAATACCAGCCCCATCCCCCACCAGTCCAGCTCTGGGGGAGGGACTCTGGGAGCCATTTTCCTGCTTTGCCCCTTTCCTTCCTGACTTGCTGATGCTAAAGAAGTGGGGGAGAGCTCGAGAGCCAGATGGGCAGATCCCTCCAGAGGCCCGCCAGGTGGGCATGGCCCCCCGTTTTCTTTAAGGCAGTGCCTGGAGGGGAAAGAGGCCACCTCCTCCCGGGTCCCCCATGCGGGGCCAGGAGAGGGGAGGCCGAGGCGTTTGGCCCCGGCCTGGCCAGGAGAGGCCCGTCCCGGGGCAGTTCAGGTGCCGGCTGGGCCCTGATGCCGGGATCGTATGCAGCCTGCTCCAGAGTCCTGGAGCACAGCCCTGAGTCCTGTGGCCACCGTGTGTGCGTGTGTGTGGGCGGGGCGCGCCGGCTGCCGGGGCTGGCAGTGCTGGGCGCTATGCAGAGAGCAGGGTTTCACGAAGTGAGGTGGGGCTGGAGGCTGGCAGCAGTGCATGCAGAGCTGGGGGGTGGGTGAGGGGTGAGTGGGGCGGGGGCAGCGTGGGGTGGGGACGAGGGACAGCCGAGCTGGGCTGAGCACTGGGCTGCCTCCTGCTGTCTCCCGGGGCCGGCTCCCTGCCCTCCCCGTGCCGGCCTCTGCTCAGAGCTCCCCAGTAGCTCCTACCCCAGCGATTTCATCTCTTGAACACTGGCTCGCACATTTTAGGCACCTACTGTGTACATCCTGCTCCACTGGGACTCACCTGCTCCCTTTCTTCTCAGGGGTCCCAAGCCCCCACTAACTCTCTTCCCTGACACCCTCATCCAAAGACGCCCTCGGCCTTCCCAGAGTTCAAGTCCCAGCCATGTGGCAATATTCTCCATGCTTTCCTGCTTCCTCCCCCTTCCTCCGGTGGGTCTGGGCAGACCTGCCGCCACACGCGCGCGGGCCCCTCGCCCCCAGGCTTGTGGCCCCAGTCACTGCTGCTGCTCGTGGCCTCTGAGCTCCGTCGCCTGCACAGCCGCAGCCGCCCGTTTGCCTCTCCCAGTTCAGGCAGAGAGAGCAGGGAGTGTTGAGTCTGCCCCACACAGAGTAGCTGTGATTTCTCCGTGTCAGCTGCTGCAGAGACCGGGCCTGGTTCCCCCTGGAGGCCGCAGATTTGGGGGATGATCTCTGCTTAAGCCCCCTGATCCCTGCAGGTCCGGGCATTGACAGGAGCCAGCTGGTGAATAGCCTGGAATCCGGGGTCCGCGCGCCGGCACCTGACGTCCCCAGCACGCACCGCCAGGTGGCGCCCCAACACCGCAGCCTGGGCTCGGCCCACAGCCCTGCCCGGGGCTCACCCCGGACCGAGGCGCTGGGCAGGCCCCCCTTGCAGAGTGTGGCCACCGCACGGGTATTGGGAAGCCATTTTCCTCCGGTAGGAAGGAGGCCGTAGGTGGGGCAGGAGGCCACGTTTTGGCCCATCTCCAAATTTTCTTCAATTGCATCTCCCAGCCCGCCCGTCCCAGCCCGAGGATCTGAGCATCACACACAGTAGGTGAATCATTCTGTAGAGTCAAGAGAGCTCGTGTAAAGCAAATAGTCAACCACATTCTTGTAAATCCAAAGTTTTCTATATTGTAGCTTTGTTTAAAATGGGGGTCCGCACCGTCTTTATGGGGAAGGCTAGGGACCGGCCCCCAGGGGAGACAGGAGGGCAGCGACTCGGGAGGCTGTGTGGAAGCGAGAGGGTGCTGTGGGAAGTCTCGAGAGGCGGAGGGGTCCTGTCCACCTCCCTCGGAGCCGCCCTGGTTCCCTGTGCCCCGGCCCCTCCGGGGGAGGCCAGGGAGAGCGCCCCGCCCCGGGCCCGGGGATCGAACCGTCCCTTGCAGAGCCCCGTCCACAGAGCTCCCAGCCAATCACACATGCAAAGAGCGCTTCCCAGCCGCGTCCGAGCACGCACCTTGGGGAACCCTGCTTGGGTTCTGGACCCCGACCAGCCGGGATGTGGGGGTGGAGCTGCACGTGGAGGGCCAGGGCCAGGCGGGGGCGCGGAGGAGGCAGGTGGGGGGGTGAGGGCGGGCGGTCTAGGGCCACTGGAGAACAGGGATTGGGGGAACTTGAGGGTGGGAGAAGGACACCAGAGCCTGCCACCATCCCAGGACCTTGGGCACATCACCCGCACTCCCGGGGCCTCAGTTTCCCCATCTGTCAACTGATGGTAATAATACTTCACCTACCTCATAGGGGAGGTTGTGAGGCCGCTGTCACCTGACCTGGGGGTCGCAGTAGGAGGACTCTGAAGGTGCTACCCGTGAGCAAAGTATTATTACCGTTGCCTGAACGCAAGACCCACCTGCCCTCCCCCCCACAGAGCCTCCAGAGATAGCCGGGGCTGGCCTGGCCCCACTCTCTCTTCGCCACTGTGTCCCAGGCCCTTCACGAGCCTCATCTGCCGTCTTTGTGGGCGCCTAGACTTTGTCGTTACCTTGTTATGTGACCGTCTCCCCACAACTGCTATATAAGTCCCACCTGCCCCAGGACCAGGATCCTGTCCACTGGCCCCGGACGCCAGGGAAGGGACCAGGAAAACAGCCACAAAAACAGCCAGGGGGTGGGTGGCCCAGCGCCCCAGCCCAGCTGGGACCCCAGGGTGGGGATCGGTGGCCGCTGTTTGTATTGTGTTTGAGTCCTTCAGCGCAAGTGTTTTATATAAAACAGAAACCCACTATCACAAAAAAAAGTTGCAGTGAAGAGAAATGAAGAAACACTGAAGAAAAAAAGGAAAAAAAACCATACAAAATTTTTCCACCACACGCACCCTCTAAGCCAGCAAGATTTCCTCTTTGCAAAATCATATTTTTGTGGGAACGGGCGCTGCTTTTTGTGGCGAGGCCCGTTCTGATTAATAAAGGATCATGAAAAAGTAGGGCCTTGGCTTTTTCCTGCGTGGGTCCCAGCCCCCTCTCACCTCCCAGGGGAGAGGCAGTGGGGGGACGGGAGCCTGGGGCTGTCTCCCCTCCGCTTGTCACCTTTGGGCCTTGGCTTCGCTGGTGATGAGGTCCTTCCCGAGCTTCCAGCCCAGCCGCACTCTGGAATCCCAACCCACCAGCTGTCCAGAAAGCAGGGGAGGAGCCGCCCCTCCAGGGCCGGGGTTGACCCCAGGCCTCTGGAGAGCAGAGGCCTGAGGGGTGCCCCTTGGCTCACCCAGCCTGCCTTCTCCCCACCCCCCAGAGTAGGTCAGAAAACCAAAGAATGGCCCCTCCAGCCCTGCCCCCGCCCCCTCACCTGAGCTCCAGCTGGGTCACTGTGGGTTCAGGCTAGCCTCTCCTCCTCCTGCCCCTCCACCTCCCCACCCCCAAAAGGACAGAGCTCAGGATTTGTTAGCTGGACTCGTGACTTTGTCCTGCCTTTCTCTGGTTTAACCCCTTACGGTTAAAAAATCTCTTTCCCACTCAAGAGCCTTTGGCCAGTCCCTGCCCCTGGGCCTGGCAAGCTGGGTCCCAATCTCCACCAGTCCCTGTGGCCAGGCAAGCTAGTCCCTTTCCAGCCCGTTTCTCAGTCCACAAAAGAGCAATAAGCTTCCAGGCCCTTGCCCTGCCCTCGCACGCAAGCCCAGGGAAATGGAGGCCCCCAGCTCTCCGGGTACCTCTGAAGGAAGGGGCCGCCTCTGTTCCAGACACAAAAGGAGCCCCTGCTGTCACTTGTCCATCTGCTGGCCCTGCCCCTGTGTGGACTAAAGGGGGCCTCCTGTTCCCCCATACCTGGGGGGGCACAGTTGCCTCCTGGCGCTGTGCTTAGTACACCCCCCGAAGCTGCCGCACCTCCCTGTCCCTTAATTTCTTACGACCTGGTTTCGAGGTCCGGCGGAAAGGTCGTTATATCTTTTGATATAACTTCTGGTCTCTGTCCCAGAGATTGGAGGGCGCCCTAGGGTCAGGTAAGTAGCCCCAGAGCACCCTTCTCCCCAGAACCCCTTGCCAGGATTTCTCTGGGAAAACAGCCTGAGGCAGGGATAGCTCGGCGGGCAGAGGGGCAGGCCCTTGCTGCGGGCTCAGGGCCTCTTGGACTTCTGGCCTCTTCTCCTGCCCTCGTGGGCCGGGTCTCTTCATCCACGCCTACGCTGAGATATCTGCCCGGCCTCTGCCCTCGCTGTCTCCTGCCCCTGCAAGTCCCTCCTGGATGCCACTGCTTTCTGGAAGGCCGCCCTGGGCCCTGGCCTGCTCTCTTCTCCTCCCCACACAAAGACCACCAGAGGCCAACGCTTGAACATGCTGTATGCCCAGCCTGGGGCCCCCGACCAGCTGTGTCCCCTGAAGATGCCCTGCTCCCCGTGTCGGTGTCCTGTGTGTCCGTGTTGTGTCTCGTTTAGATTGTGAGCCCCCCGGGCAGGGCCCCCCATCTGAACACATGTTCTGTGTGGCACACCTGGTTGTGCTAATAAATGCCCATCCTCCGAACAAGTGTGCGCAGGTGTCTTAAGGAGGCTGGGGCCAGATGGCTGAGCAGGCCAGCGTGGCGGAGGCACTGAAGGGAGGGAGGTGCTCCTGGGCAGGGCCCCCAGTTCCTGAGCACCCTGTTCTCCTACTTCCCCCAAATCCTGGGAGTCGGTGGGAAGAAGGCGAAGGGCAGTAACAGCCAGGAGAAGCCAACCCCCACCCTGCCCCGCCTCTGCTGCTCTGGGGCCCGGAGGGGTCGCAGTCACGGGAGAGGAAGGGCTTAGGATGGCGTGGGGTGATCTCGTGTGCTGGGGTCCAGCCTGGGTGAGGAGGCCTAACAGCCAAGTATGGACAAGTCCCTCCCTCCGAGGGCCCAGCCTCTTCCTGCCCTGCTCAGACCACACAGTCCCCACTGCCAGCCCTCCTGCTCTGACCTCAGCCAACTCCCTTGGCTTCGGCTCTGCATCCTTGGCGCAAACACAACTCTTCCAGGACCTCTTGCCCTGCTCCCCCCACGGCCCACCCACGCCGACTGTCCCCGGAGGCTTGGGTTATGCGCGCCCTGCAAAACTCGTCTCCCCATCTCCCTGCTCCACCAAGGCCAGTGGGAAGTCCCAGGCAGTGAAGCGAGGGCAGGCCAGGATGCCCAGGCAGTGCTCTCTTCATCACAGGGCGCCTGGGAGGCCCCCTGTCTCCACAGCAGCCCCCCACTTCCTCATGCAGACAGCCCCTCAATAATGCGGTCAAGCTGGGCATCAGCACCCACTTTAACCAAATGCTCTAACTTCCCAGAGGGAACTGGCTTCTGATGGTGGCAAGGGAGCGAGTACAAGGCAGGGCCGTCCTGGGGTGGGGGTACCTCACAGGGCTTTGTTTTGTGGACCAGCGCAGCAGGGAACAGGCTGGAGAGAGAAAATCTAGGCTCCCAGAGCCAGCGGTTGTTCCGGGTCACCCCACACGCCCCCTTCCCTCTGTCTAGGATTTGCATGAAGCCCGCCGAGCTGCAGCATCAGGTCAAAACACACCCGCTCCTTGTGTGCAGATGGAGAAACTGAGGCCACCACTTGTTCAAGGTCATTGGGTCAATGGCAGAGTCTCAGGCGAGGGGACTGGCTCAGCTCTAGCCCCTCCCCCCAGGGATCAGCTCACATTCCTTCCTCCAAGTTCCCAGACCCCAAGAAGGGCCACTGGCCCTGACAGCGCCTGCCACAGGGGAGACTGTGTGGGCAACGAAAGAGGCCGGGGAGGGGGCAGTCCGCAGCCAGGCCCAGACCCCAACGCCTCCCAGCAACCCCCACCAGCTCTTCCTGCCCGTGGGAGACCTTCCACCCCACTTACAAGCTGAATGCTCCAGATCCACCCCCAGCCTCCGCCAACCCAGGCCCAACCCAGCGGGCAGCAGAGCTGCTGGGCAGGGCCTGACCCCCTGGCCCTGGATGACATCAGCCGTGTTGTCACGGGGATGCTGGCCAGCAGCCGCTTCCCACGGGAGATGGTTCTCTAGGCTTAAGGTCTAACAAATTTCTTCCTGTAAATCTTTATTTTTTCTTTTTCCTGAACAATGAGGGGAGAGAGTCGTGAAAAACAGACTCAGAGGGAGAGACAGGAGAGAGATGAGCGGGGCAGTGGGCGAGGGAGGGGCATCGGTACCGTGAAGGAAAGAAAAGTTCAGCCCAGCTGGAGGGGGGTTGAAAATACACTGAAAGCCAGAACCTGAGAATCAGGATGGGGGAGACGGAGGAGGAGCGCGTGGGGGGCTGAGGGGCGGAGAGGACAGCAGGACCCGGGCTCATCCCGAGCAGCCAAAGCCACCGGTGACACGAGCACTTGTCGGGGCCGGCCTGGCACCGAGCTGGGCCGCAGGGACAGAGGCAGTGCCGGAGGGAGCCCCGCGTGCCCATGGCCGAGCGACCTGGCGCTCCCAGGGCTCATGAATAAACAGGCATGTGGGAAATGCACAGTCTTTCTCCAAGAAATATAATTTATGTTTACAGCCAGTTTTGTTTTTTTCTCCTAAAGAAAACACTAGCGATGCGGGGCCGCTGCCCCGACCGTGTCCCTGAGTGTCCCCGCATCTGGCCCCTCCTCCCATTATTGCTTGGCTGGGGGAGATCTGGCCCTGGGAACGGCCCCACGCCTCACCCCCTTGAGGTTGTCCCTGCTGAGGGAGCGGCGGCACACAGTGCTCGTCGTGCCCCTGGCCGTGCCAGCCACCCTGCCTGTGCCCATTTAAGGGAATGGAGAGTGCAGGCAGCGAGAGGCGCCGGGGCAGCCTCCTAGCGAGGAGCGCTCTCTCCGGGGTGGCAGGCCCTAGAGGCACCAGGCACCGTGGCTTCTTTTCAAATTTGACAGCTGGAAGGCTGGGGCTGTGGCGGAGAGAGGGGGTGCGCTCTCCTCCCAGCCAGATTCCAGGCACAGGCTAAGAGAAAAGAACAGAGTGAAGGGCAGGGGAGGAGACCCTACCGTCTGCGCCCCCATCCCCACACGAATCGCAGGGGGGCCTGGCGTGGGAGGTATGGTGTTCGGTGAGCCCCAGTAGGGGCAAGGGCAGCTGCGGTGTTAGGGCCCCAAAACCCATTTCTGTCCTGGGCACCAGCCCAACTCCAAGCCCCTACCCCTCGGCCAGGTCCTCCTCTGAGGGCAGGTCTGTCTCACACGGGGGTGCTGTCCTGCCCAGGGATAGCAGCTCCTGCACCGGGAAGGGTGGGCCTGGGACAGCCGGGCTCCGGGAGAAGGGGCAGGGGTGAGCGCCCAGAGCATCCCGGCTCAGCGGAAGGGGCTGGCGCAGTGGGTGGCGGTGCCCCTGGCTCCAGGAGGAAGCTGGCACCTCTGCTGCGTTGTCAGTGACTTTCAGAGACTGGATGGCGCCCCAGGGGGCTGCGCAGAGCTGAACTTCTTGGTCTGCCAACTGCCCAGAAATCAGCGCCCGCGGTGCTGTCTCCTGAGCACCCAGCAATGTCTGAAGATGGCCCCCAGGCCCGCCTGCTCCCTGCTGCGTCCCCAAAGTGGCCCCTGCGCTGCCCCAAGGAGGGGCGCGCCGGTGCCACAGACCTTCCCAGAGCGCTTCCTCCTCCCAGAATGGCCGAAGTCCATCACCCCGCGCCCGGGCTCAGGTGCCCAGCTCTGGAGCGGCTTCCAGGGCGCGCAGGCTGCCTGGGGGGGGCCCCAGCGCCCGGGAGACCCCGCCCCCCATGAGCAGGTCTTCCTCCTCTTCATCCTCAAAGGCCCGCGCCGGGCGGCGGGGCGGAGGCCGGGAGCGGGGCTCGTCGCGCTCGGCCATGCGCTCGACGGCGCCCTCGCCCACGAGGAACACGGTGTCGGCGACGCGCGGGGGCCCCGTGACCGGGTTGTGGTCGTAGGAGAAGACGCGCAGCGCGCGCAGCGGGTGCAGGTCGGGGAAGCCGCCCAGGCGGTTGCGGTCCAGGTCGAGGATGTGCAGGCGCCCCATGCGCAGCAGCGCGGGCGGGAACTCCTCGAAGCGGTTCCCGTAGAGCCAGAGGCCGCGCAGGCCGGTCATGCGCGGCAGCTCGGCGGGCAGCGCGCGCAGGCGGTTGTCGCCCATCTGCAGGGACTGCAGCGCCGCCAGGCGCAGCAGCGGCCGCGGGAAGCGCCGCAGGAAGTTGCCCTCGATCCAGAGGCAGCGCAGGCTCTGCAGCTGCGCGAAGTCCGCGGGCAGCGCCAGGAGCCGGTTGCCGCCCAGGTAGAGGCGCGTGAGGCGCGGCAGGCGGCACAGGCCGTCGGGCAGGCGCTCCAGCTTGTTGAAGTCGAGCGCCAGGATGCGCAGCTCGCGCAGCTCCTCGATCTCCTCGGGCAGCTCGCGCAGCCCCGTGCCGCTCACGTACAGCTTCTGCAGGCGGCTCAGCGCGCACACGGCGCCGGGCAGCCGCCGCAGGCGCCGCCCGCTCAGCTCCAGCTGCTGCTCGCCGCTGCGCAGCTGCTCCTCCGCGTCCGACGGCAGCTCGTCCGGCGTGGACTCGGCGATGCCCATGGTCAAGGGCCCCGGCCGGGGCCGCCGACGCCGCCGCCGCCCGGCATCGCCCCGCCCCGCCCCGGCCGCCCCCCGGCTTCCCCGACGGGGCCGAGGCCGCGCGGGCTCCGGGGCCCCCCGCCCCGGCCGGTCCCTGCGCCGGGAGGGGGCCGGGCCGGGCCGGGAGGAGGCGCCCGCCTGGGGCCCCCGCGCACCGCGCGCTGCGCTCGGCCGCGCGCCCTCCGGCCTCCCCCGCTCGGTCCGCCGGAGGCCGACTGGCTGGGCTTGGCGCTGACTCGCGGCGGAGCGATCCGTCGCCCTGGCAACCCCCGACGCGCGTGCGGCTGCCAATGAGGCGAGGGGGGCGGGGCGGGGCGGGGCCTCGGGGCCTCCCGCGCGGGGTCCGGGCGCTCGGGCCCGCCCCCCGGCGCCCGTCGGGCCCGCCCCCCAGCTCGCGGAGCCGCGGGCTCAGGTGCGCCCGGGCCGGGTCTGGCGCGGCCGGCACAGACCCGACGGCGGGCGGTCTGCGCCTCCGCCCACGGCCAGCTGTTTGGGGCACAGTGGGGTGCTCCCCAGCACGGCGCGTCCAGGGAGGGGGCCAAGAAACGCGGCCTTGCGATGCAGGACTCGGGACAAGTGGCTCTGGCGGAAGAACTGAGGGGTGCGGCCATCGCCGGCCACTCTGGGCCATTCCAGCGGCCTAGAGCCAGTCTCCTTGCTGGGGTCACCTTAGGGTAGTAACTCAGGCGGTGTTGCTTTCTGACCCTTTGGCGAGGGCGAGGGAAGCTCATCTGGGAATTGGCCGGAACCCAGAGGTTGGCGCTGCCTCCCTGGCCTCCTGGGCACCCCAGTTCCCGGCAGCTTCGTCCTGGATGCGCTCACACCCCTCCGGCTTCCTGCCGTGTCCCCCCAGCTGTGCTCAGGCTCTGCGTGTAGCTGGGCGGACAGAGGACCCGGACTCGTGCCTCTGGGCACCAGCCAGGGTGATGGTGCGTCCTTAACTCTTCCTCTAGCGCATGCTCCCAGCCACAGCCTTTTGCCCTGCCTCCCACCCCACCCCATTCAGGGCCCTCCTGCAGAGTTCCTGGCAGAAACTGCTTTGTGGGGGGCCGGCCCTGGGCCAGCTTTGTGCGAAGCATTGCATTGATTCTTTGGACAACTCAAGGAGATAGGTGCCTTCGATTCCCTACTTTAAAAAATGGAGAAACTGAGTCTGAGAAGTTGGACTTGAGTTGGGTGACTAGTCCGAGCTCACCTGAGCTCACCTTGCTGGTGCACTGCTGGGACTTGAAACCATGGAGTCTGCCTCTCCAAGTCAGTGCTGCCAACTGGTGTGCCACCAACAAGTGGAAACAGTGATGATTCCACCCCGGCAATGAACTTGCTCACAAAGGAGTCTGTAACTCTCATGACAAAACCACAAGGAAGGCATTAATAAGCCCATACGGAAGGGGAGGAAAGTGGTCCCAGAGGCATGAGGCAGCCTGCAGGAGGTTGCCGGCGAGTGGAGGCGATAGCAGGCAGCCAGCCTGCAGGCTCGGGTCCTCCCCCATCCCGCCCGCCCCTGGCTCCTGCAGGTGCGAGCGAGCTGTGTGACTGGATGCGCGGACAGACCTCCTCTGGGCGCGCGCCACCCTTTGACCTCCCCCCTCCCGTCCCCTCTGCAGGCAGGGAGGGAGCGCCGTCCGTGGAGAGCAGGGGCCGGCAGGACGTGAGAAGGAGAGCCACGCAGCCACCCAGGCAAGTTCGTCTCCGTCCGGGCTGGCACAGGGTCCAGCAGATGGTAGCCATCAAGGAAACGTTTCGACATTTTTTCAAATGGAGGCCAACTTGGCATACGGTGAAATGCATGGTTCAGAAGTGTACAGTTTGATGAGTTTTGACAAATGTCAACATCCATGTGATATTGCCGTCACTCACAGCGATCCCCAGTGCCTCTTCCAGTCAATCCCCACCTCCCAGGGGCAGCCGTCATCCTGACCTCTATCTTCATGGAGCCGTTTTGCCTGTTATTGAATTTCATAGAAACGAAATTGCTCAGTGTGTACTTTTCTTGCTCCTGGCTTCTTTTGCTCAGATACTCAATATCTCTGTGTTGGATAAAGGAGCAAAAGAACAGAGCAATAGCGCTTGTCATCGGGGTGTCATGGGGTGAACAGGTAAGAGGAACACAGAGGCAGGTATTGCTCTGAGTTGGGACCCAGCCGCAGATCCGACCTGGAAGGGAGGCTGCTGGGGCTGAGGGTGGGAGTCCAGTTTCCAGACTGGAGCGTAGGGAGATTCTGAGCCCCAGCCAGGGGGCGTCACACACCTTCCTGCCCTCCCCCCGCCCCAGTCCAGCTCTCCCTTCTACTCATTTCGGAGAACTTCTTGGAAGAGGCGATACCTCAGAGTCTAGAAAGGCTTAGAAAACGCAGCCAGGATGATGGGAGGAGGGTGAGTGCCTCTCCCATTGCACCCCTTGCCACCCCCCTAGCAGTTTTCCCCAGAGAACATTCACTGTGGAGGAGGAAGCCCAGCCAGCCCCCCTCACCACATGCTCGGAGCTGCACTCCCTGCCAGGAGCCCTGTGGGCTCTGCTGGCACAGGCAGAAACCACATGAGCCCCTGCAGCAACTCCTACCAGCCTGGCAAGCTCCTTGGGTTCAAGGGCACAGGGGACCAACCCTCTCCTTTCTCTGAGTCTTTTTCTTGCTCTGGTAGATGCTGTACCTTTGCCTCCCACCAGGCCCTTCTCAGTGGGTAAAGGTAAAATGTGCTGGCGTTCCGGGCCCACGCAGGCTGGCAGCGGGGCAATCATGTTGATGAATCACGCTGGCACCGCGGGCGCCCAGTCCTTGTTGAGGTGTCGCTAATGAATTAGTTTCACCCCAGCAAGGGGCCTCTCAGCCTTTCCCCACTCCCCAGGAAGGCAGGAAACTGAGACCCGGGAGGGGGGAGCAGCAGAGGAAAGGCCCTCTCCCCCCGACAGCGCCAGGAACGGCTGAGACCCTGTCCACACCCACAGATAAATGTCCAAAGACACGCCCCTCAGGCCCCTGCAAACAGCCCCTCGCTCCTAACGGTGAGCTCTAACTGCCCTGCCCACCTCTGAAGCTGGATTTTAAAAAGAAATTTGTGCAGCCCAGAATCAGTAAGAGCCCTCCGTGCCGAGCCTCCGTGCCGAGCCGCTGTGCCCCGGATCCGGAGCTGGCAATTGCTCGCGTTCTGTCACACTAGCTTTGAGAGCCTTTTCTTTTCAGTAAAAGGAAGCAAGCGGCACACGCGGCATATCAGCCGCCTTTGTCTCTCCTCCCATGTCCCACGAGCACCCCTGCCCCAGCACGCTCTCCCTTTGGCCCCCACGCCCTCTGGAGCCAGGTCCACCGCGGCTAGTGCCACAGGCCTTGGAATGTCAGGTTCTTAGAAAGCCGGCCAGGAAAGTCCCAGCAGGGAGGGGGCCTGGCCGCCCTTCTGGGTCACAGGCTCTGCTCGGTGTCTGCAAGAAGCCTGAGACCCCGGTCCCAGAAAAACACCTGCAGGCAGGAGCGCTCCCCATGGGTGTGCACCACCCCCTGGGACCCATGACCTCTCGGGGTCTCATCCTGGGGGGGGCATGCCCTGGCCCTCTTCCTTACCTGCACTCCCCCGCCCCGACTTGAACCTTCGCCGCCCTTCAGCTGCCTACTCAGCCAACACTAAGCTCCTTGGCCTATACCTGGGCACAGCGTTTGCTCCGAATGTGACTATAAGAGACCCCAAAACCCTGCCTGTGTAGCACACACATGGAGAGAGTGGGGTACAGGTGATCCACAAAGAGTAGTGCACAGCGTCAGGCAATGGAGGAAACAAAATGAGAGCGAAGGAGGCCTGAGGACTCCACTTAATTACCTGTTTATTTATTTTTAATAGTGGTGTGAGGGACGTGCATTCTCCTATTAGCTTCAGGTGTATGACATGGTGATTCAATATTTCCATACTGGGACATGTCCCCGCGATAACTCCAGTGAACATCCATCAACACGCACGGTTACAAAACCCTTCTCAGATGAGAACGTTCGAGATCTGTGCTCTCAGCAGCTTTCACATCCACAGCGCATATTATCAAGACAGTGGCCAGGCTTTACCTTCGAGGACTCCAGTGAAGACAGAGCTGCCCGAGGTCAAGTTGGCAGGTTGCCCTTGGAGCCAGGATGGGGAGGAGGAAGGGAGGGAGCCGTAGGCAGATATCTGGGGGAGCGAGTTCCAGACACTGGGCCTGGCAGCTGCCAAGACCCTGGAGGGAGAGAGCCTGGGCGGCCCAGAGCAGCAGGGGGTAGGTGGGGCTGCAGATGAGGTCAGAAAGAGAAAGTGAGAGGCACTGGGGGTGTGAGCAAAGGAAGGCAAGACCTGACACTTTTTTTTATTAAATTATTATTTTTGTAAAGATTTATTTATGCATACAAGAACCGGGGTTCAGGCCAGAGGTGCCAGGGGTGAGAAGATTCACCAGAGACAGAGTGGGGAACAGAACAGGCAGACTGACTGAAATACACTGCTGAGGGGAGCAGCGGGCGAGACAGGAGAGGTCTGCTGCGCCACATGGGCAGCTGGCCAGCCAGGGATGGAACTATCTGCAGAGATTATGGATAGCTTCAGAGCGCTGTGCTTAACACCTTGCACCACCAGGGATGCCGAAGACCCGACACTTTTTTTTTTAAGATTTATTTATTTATACATACAAGAACAGGGGTACAGGCCAGAGGTGTGGGGGGTGAGAGGATTCGCCAGAGACAGAGTAGGGAGCAGAACAGGCAGACTGACTGAAATACACTGCTGAGGGGAGCAGCGGGTGAGGCAGGAGAGGTCTGCTGCGCCATGTTGGTATCTCCTTGGCTGGGGATGGAACTTGTGCTACAGCGGCTGCGGACAGCTTCATAGGTTGCGTCTTAACCCCTTGTGCCACCAGACAGCAGCAAGAAGGAGAAGCTGGGAGGGGTTTTGTACCTCTCCCGCCCCCCGTCATCTCTGTGTCATCTCTTCCACCGATGACAGCGGTCACT